CCATCGCCATTAGGTTGGAGGCCATCGCTATTAGGTTGGAGGCCATTGCTATTAGGTTGGAGGCCATCGCCATTAGGTTGGAGGCCATCGCTACTCAGCTCCGCATAGCTTCACTTTGGCTCCATCTTCTGACCTCCTCAGGGGAAGTCGTTTGCTTAGCTGGCACCATCGCCGCTGCTGGGCCGAGCTGTTTGAGACGTCTCGGTCAGAGCTGTTTCGGGGTGCCCCAGTTATGGCCGTTTTAGATGGCCAGTCCGAGTGTGGTAGTCTAAAATATATTCGGAGAAAGTCCTAGGAAGGTCGTATGTGGTTTTTGACCTTGAAACTTTCAAGTCGAGACTTGAGCTACTCTCAGCTACTTTGGTGTGTTTGAGCTACTGTGCAAGGGTTGCAGGTCCATCAATCACTTTCTTTTTTTTTGTGGAAACTGGAGAGGCACCAAATCATGGCCATTCCGCGATTTCTGACTGGGAACCCTCTGATTTCTGACAGCAAAATGCTAAGCAACATGCGTCTCTCAGGAACTGACCGCTCCCCTTCCGATGCAGCCGAATCAAACGGGCGATCGGAGACTATGGCATCTCACGGTGCAGATCAATGCAGCCAGCATAGTGTCTCGGACGGAGCACGGGAGATCCCTAGACCGCCGGTGGTCTCGCAACCTCTGGGGCGGTCCGGTGCGTTCCGTGTGGTTTGTCTCGCTGCATCGCTTCGGCAGCCATTTTTGAGGGAGGGGAGACACCAAACCAGTCAGGTGTTTCTTTTGTCTTGAACGGATGTGTTCCAGCTGCCGCTGGGTCGCTGCCGTTCACGCAGGGGTGACGGTCCGACGGGAGCCAAGACGCCGCAGAAAGGGAGGGGTGTCAAGCGCCGAGATGAGTGGACCCGGGGAAGTCTTAGTAAGCGAGGACACGACGAGCAACGGGGCTCCCTGGCCTTAGTCACGGAGCCCGAACGGGACGCGACGAGTATGGGGCTGGCATCGCTACGAACGGAACAAAGCTGTGCTGGAGTAGGGAGGATAGCAGTGCTAACTGAGTCTAAGCTGGAGGTAAGCTCCGGACTGAGAGAGCTGATGAGGTGGGCTTGAAAGGGTGAATGTTCACCATCCGCAGATGAACTGCCAACTGAGATGGTCTCATCTTCTTTTCATTTGGGAGATGTTGGAGATGATGATGGGGGGGGAGATCCATTGGAGGTTGCATACAGCTCAAAACATTCAAAGCCCCCTCATCTTCCCAGAGACCTCTCCCTTCTGAAACACCTCCTCTGTCGGGTCGGGGGTGTCCCCGCCGGGACCTCGGCGTCGTTCTTTTCGGTTAATCCGGATTCCGGATGGTCCTAAAACAGATCTGTTTCTGCCTTGAAAAGGCTTCAGGACTGATGCTTGACCACTTTGAAAGTTGGTTTGGACGCTCAATGAAATCCACGGACGCTGTTCTTCTCTCCGCCCCTGACCGATTCCGAACCTTTTCTTGGCAGAACGTTGGGCTCCCCAGCCAATGGGCTTTGGGCTCTCCCCACGTCAGGTGCCGCCGCCGGCGCAACAGGCGCCCGCCGCCATGATCGGCTTGATGATGGCCGGCTCAGGAGAGGGAAGGGTGACTGGGAGCCACCAGTTCTCTCACTTTATTTTGGAAGAATTAATCCAAAGACGAAGAGAGAGAGAGAGAGAGAGAGAGAGAAAAATAAGAAGGTCCCTTTGTTGATCTTTTGCTTTCTCCCCTCTTGGCTCCCTTCTGAAGCACTAGCTTGAAGCCTGAGAGAGTTTCGTCGTTCCATGTCACATGCAACATCCGCCTTCTCCATCGACTCGCCATTCACCTTGGCCGCAGTCCTTGGCAGCAGCCGGGGCACTGCAGCCGCGCCAACCTTTGAATATAGTTCGAAGCCAAGGGGTTGGGAGGAGCGAGGGCCAGAGTGGTCAGTGGTCGGCAGATCTGAGGGCCAGAAAGAAGCCTTGTCGAACTCTTCCCTGTTTTCGCTCCAAAAAGAAGTGTTCATGTCGGACTCAATTGGTTCAGAATTGATACAGAACAGGATTTTCAGGAACCAGGCAGACGGTAAACCATAGTGTTCACCAGCCTTGTCACCGCCAGAGCACCACAACGGCACCGTCCCTTCATCCCTTCCTTCGACCCTGTCGCGGTGACCGGCGTCGTTCGACACCGTGGTTCGTGGCATTCGAGGTTACACCGTGCAGAATAGTGCCGGAGCGACCGTGCGTAGTGAAGAAGGCACTCGCAGCGGGGAGACAGGCGGGAGTGGTGCCGAAGGAAGGAGACAGTCGGAGGGTTGGCCGAAGGAACCAGGTGTGCTGTGTGCTGCTGTGTGCACGACTGGTTCAGGAGTGGTGTGTGTTGTGAGTCGTGAGTTGTCCATAAGGTGGAAAAGAGAGAAAGAGAAGAAGCACGGAGAGATCAATGAACAAACCATGATAAACCCGGAACGAGGGACGTGTACTTGGATCTACGAGCTAACCCAGCTAACCCCCCTCATAGAAATCATAGAACTACATCGAACAGGAAGGACACATGGGTTCTTTTGCTGTCCAAATGTAGCTGGCTGACATCCTCAGATTTGTGCGTGGCAAGAAACGAGGGACGCTTTCAGTGCTTCAGTTCCGTTTTCGTTCTAGTTCTCGCAGACTCTCGCTTCTCATCGCTTTCTCGCTGCCTCCTCGACCGTTTCGACTCGTCGTCGAGACGTGAGAACGGACCCGACAGGTGAGCTGAAGCAGCTCTACTACCACAAAGTCCGGCACCCGATCCTTCGAGAGAGACGAGAGGGCCTTTAGTAACCACCTATATGATATGTTTGTTTATATTTGTTTTCTTTAGTTCTTTTCTTACTGTTCTTTTCTTTTAAAGTCTATTTTCTAAACATATCTTCGACTTGCTTAACTTGCTTACCTTGCCTGCGTCTTGAGGCGAACTTCGGTGGGCATGAGAGTCTCCAAGATGAAGGCTTCAAGCTCTTCATCCATGTGGCTTGGCGACGGAACCGAGATCTTCTTCGGTCCATTCGAGCAGATCACAACACAACTGTTACACTAATAGTGATCCCAATAGATAGTGGCACGGTTTCCAAGACATTCCTCTTTTCTACCTATTTGGGGGTCGAGAAATACATGAAGAAGCGCTTTCGGGACCAAGAACGACGCGCTGACTGGAGACCTGCGGAAACGCTGTGAACGGCGGACACCCGACCGACCGGCGGGAACGGCGAGACCGGAGACCACGTGGGTCCTCACCCAAGAAGGGCAACGTTCCTGGCAATGTTCGAAGAGCCGGGGAACGTTGGACATCAGGCCAATCACGCGCCGTTTTCTGCGCCGCTTGGTGGCCGAGCCTCCCAGGGCCTCGCATTGGTTCGCATTGGTTTCATGTGGGGTCGGACATGTTGTTCGACCGAAACCAATTGGTTCACGAAGAAACCTCCACCAGCAGTCACAAAGGGGTGCTTAATGGAGGAAGTCGGGGTGCCCATTATCCACTCACTTGGGGACTAAACACCACCCCGTACTTGTGACTCCTGGCAAGCAGGGTTGAGTAAGATCCGATTTTTCGGCTCCAGGACGAGATCTTTCAGCTCCAGTCCGGCCAGATTTCCGCGAGGCCAGGTGAGAATACGTGTTCGGTGTGAGAAAAATGGGTCGAGTCGAGTTCGGGTGCATGAGTCAGACGCTAGATGAAGATTTTGATATATAGATCAAGATAGTATACATACAACTTATTCTATAATTTGTATAGTGATTTTAGACGTAGCTGATGATATTTTGCAGTGGCCCTTGTTCACACGACGATCGACCCATCAGGGACTTCCATCGGCACATGGTGGCCTTAGCAGCTTCGAACTTTAACAAGAAACGCTCCTTGTTAGACAAGGCCCTGGAGGAGCACTGGGACGGAGGCCGCGTTTTGTTGTTTTCGAGATGCGTCCATTGGACGCAGTAGAGACGAGCCTTTCTGGTTTTATTTTCTTTTTAAATCCAAGGCTTTTTGATTGCTGAACCCTTGCAGTGGCAGCGAATCCGGTTCAAGTCAGTGAGGGTCAGTGATGCCCTTGTTACAAGTAAGTCGTGATGCCCATGTCTACCAAGCTAGTAGCGATGCCCGGAGCTACTCAACGCGATGCCCTTTGTTACTAGTAGCTTAGCCCTATTAGAAGTCCAGAGACTATATTTTTACCGAATAAAGTAAAGGACATTCCTTTTCGGGTCACCTGAAGACCATTCTTTTTATGGTCTTTGACTCCCAGGGTTAGGTTTTCCTTTCTTCCGCTTGGATGCTTCTCACGACGGGTACAGTTCGCTGCTTGGGGACCCGCTCCGAGCGCAGCGGAGCGCAGGAGCTCATTGCCCACTGGGGCATGGATACTCCAGCGCCCGCACAGGCGGCTTGTTCCGCAAAACAGGGAAGAAAACGGGATGTCCGCAACAGACACAAGTGTTGTGGCTCTAAGTTCTTTCAGAATCTCTTGAAGGAATTTAGACCGTCGGAGCTTTTCGGTTCTTTTTTTGCTTTGCGGTGAAACAGAAGCGGGGAGACCCAACTGGAACCAGAAGCCGCAGAAAGTGGAGAGTGAAACTGCAACTTCTTCATTTCTTGAACAGAAGAAGATCATGAGGATTTCTTGCAGAGAGCCTTCGCAAGGTCGTTTTGGCGGCAGCTGCAGCCCTGGGGACCATGAAAAGGCACACATTGCCAGGTGCTAGAGAGTCCGGGGGAGAAATTTCCTGACTTGCTGCAAGAGACATTCAGCCAAGAAGTGGAAAAGAGGCAGAACAGGAGGCAGAACAGGAGGCAGCTCTTGCAAGTGATCCCTTCTAACTTGGCGTTTTAGCCGGCGGGCCGTCGTTTGAGACGTCAGGCTGGTCGTTCGTCACTTGAGTCGGTGAGCTCGAGAGCTTGCGAGGTGTCACCATGTATGGTTTCGACACCTTCGACAATGACTATGCCTTCAGCTCCGCCATGGGCAGCAAAGAGAAGGAGAAGGAGAAGGAGGTCCGGACCCCGGGGGGGGAGGCCTGGTGGTCGCTCGCCTCGAGCGGTGGTGGGATCCAGGGGCACCCCACACGAAGACGCACAGCCCTGCTGCCCTGCACTGCTAAGCTGCCAGCGTGGTGCGAAGACACTGAGCAGCTTAAACGTCGGCCAACAAAACCGCAGGAGCCTCCATCTCTGACCGTGTGCAGATGGATCGTGTGCCTTGGTAGTACCGATGTGTTTCATGTGTGGACCTCGGTGGACCTCGGATGGAGTTCGGAATGGACATTGTTGGAAGATCAAACTCTTGTGATCTTAGGAAGCACTGCCCTTCTCGAGCAGATGTGGAGGACAAGACTTCATGGTGTACAAGCTCAGCAAACCCGAATTCCTCAATAGCTTCCCTGGAGCAGCTGAACGCAGGTATCAGTGTAGATTGATCTCAGATTCCAGATTCTCCCCACACAGCGGCTAGCCAGAGTGTTTGCGAAAGAAGATCCCAAAGAGGATGAAAACTCGTTTCAAGATTTTCAGATGCTGTGTTTGGCTTTCAGCAAGCTGATACAGCTTCCTTTTCTGGAGAACTTCCCTTTTGTTTCTCCGCGCGGGGGGGGCCACCACCGCTCGAGCTCGGGTCACTTCAGGAGGAGCAGCGCGGTGAGCGCGAGCGCGGCCGCGAGTCGCGGTCCATGGCCACCACCGCGGGCGTTCGCTTGGCGGCGGAGACGCTCTATAAGGAGGCGGCGGGCATCGTCTCGGGGGGACGAAGTGCATGTCTAGTTGCAAGAAGCAATTAGGTTGGAGGCCATTTCTACTAGCAAGAAGCTATGACCATAGCAAAGTACTGCATCGCTATCTACTCTATAAGGAGGCTCGTCGCGTTCTTCGCGGTGCCGCGCGCGGTCCTGCTGGTGAGTGTGGTGAAGAATCAGATGGCCCAACTGCATCCTTTCATCAACTGTGGAGAAACCAAGAACTATCCTTCAGCGAAGATCACTGCACCGCGGGGGAAGCGTCTACTTTGTCACAACATTTCATCAGCTGTGAAGAGCCAGTGTGTCACCACCTGTGCTAGGTTTTCACTAGTCAGTAGTCAGTGGCACTTCTGTCAGTAGTCAGTAGTCAGCAGTCAGCAGTCACTAGTACAGCTGCCAGCTGTGAAAGCTCCCCGGAAACACTCACACCGGAAACGTACCACTCACCTGCTGTGAATCAGAACTTCTTCGCTTCGATGAGAAGAGCCCATGACATGTAGACGAGAGAGAAGAGCCCATCGTGTCAGATGGGGGGGTGCGTGGCGTGCCTGGAAAAAACATCACGCCATCTCACTGCTCGCCCACTTCACCATATTTCACCCACCAGCTCCATTGGTACATTTTTTCTTGGCAGCGGTGAACATGCACTACTACTACTACTACTACTACTACTTCTACTTCTACTTCTACTTCTACTTCTACTTCTACTTCTACTTCTACTACTTCTACTTCTACTTCTTCTTCTTCTTCTTCTTCTTCTTGGAGCGGGGATTTTCACTCCACTGCAATAGCCTTCGGATCCTTCGGAATATGCTACTCCACCACTGGCAAGCTTCGAAAAAAGACGACCAGTACAAACACCAACGGAACCTCTGTGACATGTCAGACTCGCATGACTTGACATCCACATGTCCAGACTTGCTGGACCTAACGAAACCGGTCAGACCGGAAGACCGGTCAGACCGGTCAGACCGGTGACCCGCTGTGTGCTTCGTGACCCGGACTGGTCCTCTCATCCACGAGCAATGTGTCATCCACGGAAACGATCTGGTTTGAAGAGTGGAACAAAAGAATCCGTAAAACCATCGACTCTGTCCCCGTTGATATTAGACGTTTTCACAGCTGTTGATTCAAGAATGAGGGTGGTTCGATGAAGCTTCGCACCTTTGAGCCGGTGGGCGTCCTCGGCTTGGGGTGAACGTGTCTCTTGAATCACTTCACATCCGTCCGAGCCGCCAGGAACAGACCTTTGACTGGTTGAAGCTGCTCGACCGTGATTTCTCGCCGGGCGATGAGGAATTGGACGGTGAGAGGTCTTGGACGTGATCAACGGGGGGGAGAACGGGCACTTGCCTTCCCTCGTTTTGGGGGGGGAGAACGTGCCTCGCGTTGTTTCTCTCCTCTTCTTTCTTTCAGAACCTCTTTGGCCCTCGAATCCCGGACGCTTTCTTCGTGCTCCGCACCGAGCGTCGCCCTCGACGGCCTGGATGGGGGCCGAACGCGTCGGCGGTCGAGGCTGTTGAACTTCTTGCCGGAGCATTCGTTGCCACAGCCTGTGAACGCTTCCCAGTGTAGCAAAGAGGAGGCGCGAAGGCATGAGATCTTGTTCCTCCCCCAGACCTCTGCTCTCTCTCTCTCTCCCTTTCTTTTTGGAAGCGGTGCGAAAGGCATGGGATCTGGTCTGTGGAAAGGCCAATCCTGCAGATTTTGACTCTCTCGACATGATACAAAGATATCCCCTGATTGACCTCTGTTTTGGACCAACCACCCCATATTTTGGGGTCTTTTCCGACCTTGCCTGACAGGCGAGACGGCTCACAGACTCCTTCCTGCGTTCCATGGGCTACGTCCGGCGCTAAGACCGAGACCGAGACCGAACCGAACGTCGCCCGAGCGAGCGAGCGAGCTTCGGCCCGCCCCGAAGCGGGGCCCCTGGCAGCGCGAAACCGGCTGCTCCTTCTGCTTTCTGCCAGGTCTTTGAGGACTTTCAAAGGTCAAAGGACCAGCTCCTTGGGAAGCAGTTGCAGGTCGCGGCGTGGGACGGGACCGCGGCGTGGACGGGATCGTCCCGCTTCTCCCTTCGAGTCAAACGAGATCTTTGGCGTTGGAGGTCAACTCAGATCTTTATACTCTTTCCTTTGATCCAGTTCCATCATTCTTTGCTCCTTTTGTGACGACGGAACCGGAAGGAACCGGGACGCGCGTAACGCCCGGGATGGACCGTTTTCACCGCAGGTCCCGAGTCACGGTGTCACGGTTTGCGGCTCGTGGGTCGCCCTCAGGTTCGAACTGAATCCTCCAGGCGATGCCAAGGAACGGCAGAAGGCCGAGCAGGTGACCGCGAGGGCGAAACCGGTGTCTGTGGGTGGCGCGCGTCTTGGGGTGTCTGGCATGGGAGGAGATGGCAGTCCTGCCACGAACTCTTGGGACGTCCAACAAACTCGAAGACGTCCAACCACCCGTTGGGGTCGCTTACTCTCGCCTCTTCCCAACCTGTTTCCTTTCGCCCACCGGGTGGCGCGCGTCTGGGGTTCTAGTGCCAAAAACCCGCATTTCTTTGGTTTCCGCGTTCTTTTTTTTTCAGGAGATGCAAGGCCGAATGGAGCTCTTCCTGCGCGGGCTGTGCAGTTTTTGCCCCTCCGTGGAGTGCATGAAGACGCTGGTGATCGAGCTTAGGACGGGGAAACGAAACGAAACGGTTCAGAAACGCAGGTGCAGAAGGACTTAGGTTGGAGACCATCGCTAGTAGGTTGGAGACCATCGCTCTTGGGTTCCTATTGCTAGTAGGTGTGCAGAAGGACTGTGGACATTTGGATGACTCGTTTGGACGCTTTGCATCAAGACGAGAAGCGCCATATATTTGTCGCCGCTGTGGTTGCATTTCGCTACCCAGACCCACATATCATCCAGAGTCAAGGACCATTCGAATACCATTGAGGACATGAAGTCAGTCCACTTCAGAAAATCCGATTGCTTCAAAAAGAGTCACCAAGGCTCTCGTCTCCCCCCCCCGTCCGTCCGTCCGTCCGTCTCTCGCAACCTCGGCGACCATCGCCCACGCCCTCTCCTTCGTCCGGCAAGGAGAGCCTGGGAGCCCCTCGTAGAGGTGATGATCCCAATGATCTTCAGTCGTTTTCGCAGCATCCACTTTGGCAAGGACCGGACCATACCGGACCAACCGGGGCGGCCACGGTGTCCGAAGAGACTTATCCTACAAAAAGACGGCACCTGTTCTCGTCTTCGTTGTTCGCGGCCCGTTCGTTGTCTCATGCCTCCAAGGTGTTTCGCGGCCCGTGTTCCTTCCGTTCGATTCTTCTTTTTGTTCCGCGATGTACGAAGTTGTTCACGAAAAAGGCGCCGGGCAAATGTGGGTTGCCGGACAATACGCGTCCAGTTTCTTTTGGGTGTCATGGCAGACAGGGCAGCAAAAGTCCACCTGTCTTGGTCGAGATCACTCAGAGACCATCCCAGTCCGCCGCCAGGAAGATAAAAGCAGTTTGGTCGAGATGATCAAGGACATCCCATTCATGTGGCCTAGCAGAATACCTTGACACTTAACATCAATGCACTTAACACCAATGACTGAAATACTGGAGCTGGTCACACCAAAAAACCCACGGTTCAAGCAAGCCAGCCGACCGGAACGCTTTTACTGAAAGACTCTGGACGAACCGACGTCCTCCTCAAGCCGCTCTGCGCGACCACCCCCGGTTCGAAACAACCGAGCTGGGTCCAAGTTCTGTCTCGGAGCCTGGGGAAAACATCGAGCGCTTCGCCGGGTATCGCCCCGTTGAGGCATTGTGATGAGACCGCCATCGCACTGCTTCAGAATCAGAACCACCCGAACGAAGCCTTTCGAGAGAAAGCTGCCTGGCAGCACATTGGAACGTTTCTTGGCCACACCAGCGGTGTGGCACTTTGTGCTGCTCTTCAGCTTGGACAGTGGATTTTTTTTGGTGGGGATCTGTGGGAAAGATCAAAGACTTCTGATCCGCACCAATTGGTACTTCAGGAATGCCCAGTTTTTGAGCATGTTTGGACTGAGGAGATCGTGGAATTCATTCAGCGTGTGACCCAAAGCCCCGGGGGAGCCTCGGTGCCAAACCGGCCCGGCCGTCGAACGCCGAGCCGAGCCGCGGCGTGGCGTGGGGACGGCCGGTTGGAGAGGAAGCGCCACGGCAGGTGGGACTGGATTCAACATGATTCAACTCCATTCCCCCTCGTAGGTGTGGGTAGTTGTCGTTTTGGGGTGATGTTAAACCTGAGGAAATGTTCGATTTTAAGTATGCATTCCTTTTGTTTCCTCCCTGGCAACTTCACCGGCTTTGGACGAAGTTCCGGAACTGGAACAACGCTCCAGTCAGTGCTTCCGCCCCACGGAGTCGGAGTTCCGGGTGACCGGACCGACCTCCCCGACCGAAGGCAAGGTATGTTCACCGTCACCCCTTCGTTCTGCTATGACTGGTAGACCGGGGCACCTTCCTGGGAGAGAAACCGAACCGAACCAACGGATGAGCTCCGTGCACCCGACCCGACCCGAACCGCGGTGTTGGCCCCTCTCGCTCCATCACCAGCGCCGACCCCCGACCCCACCGGGACCCGGGACTTCCGGAGCGCCGACGGAGGTGTCAGACCGGCCGGTCCACAGCTGCAGAACGCCGCCCGCCGCTGGCTGGTGCGTGCCACGGCGGAGCGCCACCGGGAGCTGCGGGGGGGTGGAGACCGGGGAAAGGCCGATGACCCTCGGTGACGGCGTTTTTGGGTGGTTTTGGGGTTGTGAACGTGTTCGCTTCGGAGCGAAGATGGAGGATCTTCCAAAACACCATTTGTGTTTTTTTGGAACCAGGAAGAGTTTACCGTGGGTTTTTTCCTGGCCCAATGGCTTTTTTCTGGGCCTCTTTTCCTCTCCAAAAGACCAGGATCTTTGGAAGGTCTCTCCCCCCCATCCATGTTGGATCCATCCATCCCTCTGCCTTCACAGGGACCGACGGCTCCGACCTGCCCCGGAGAACGCCGTGGACCGAGGCTACTATGGCCGCCCAGTGGATCGGCCCATGGAGCGGAAGGACCGAGCCCTGGGGCGGTGGACGAGGGTTGGCAGGGGTTGAGCACGAGCCCCTGCTGTTGAAAAGGACCCTGTTGCCTGTAGTATACGGCCAGGAGCGGTTCGCGTCCGAACGTTCCGTTCGAGGCGCGGTGCCCTGGCCTGCGCCGTTCGCGGCGAACATTGCAACACTGAACATTTGATTCCTGTGTCTTCAGATGTTTTGCAGGAGGACAAGATGGCCGTGAGTGAGATGTCTCGTAGCGACTATCAGGCGGGAGGTATTTCTTTCTCAAATCCGAAGCGGCGGCTTCAGAGTCGAACGACTGACCTGCTTGGCTTCTTCAGCAGTTCTTCACCTGAACCAGGTGATGAAGAAGGACATTCGAGAAGCCATGAGGAATGCGATCAGCGGCTGGCAACTCATCTTGGATCTCCCCTGTTTCAAGGCGGAGGAGGCCCGAGCGCATGAAAAGGATCAATGGCGCTCCGCACTCCGTTGGCCCGTCAAGGGCTCAAGTCTCCTCTCCAAGATTTATGTTAGGGCCATCGCTAGTGGGGTGGAGGCCACCTCTTCCTTGTTTTTCACGGTTTGCATCCGCTAGCCGCTAGAGATGTGAGCTTCCGCCGAAGCGTGGTACGTCTGAGTGAGGGGTTTGCGCAGGAGACGGTTCGAAACTTGCTCTTTGAGATGTCGCAATCCTACTTCTTCAAGGATCAGGACCCCCTGTGCCTTGGACGAGTGTGCTGAGTGAAAAAGCTCAAGCTCGACACATCCTCAAATTGTCACGAAAGGTAGCTTGAGCTACCTGAGTTCTCCTTGCTTTAGCAAAAATGTATTACAATCAGGAGTTGGGATTGTGCATTGAATTTGGTCCTGTAAGAGTTGATTCTGTTCGTCGGCCCCCCCCCCTGGATCAAATCCCCCCTGCGCCGGTTCACGCCGTCGTGGACTTCTACCAGGGTTACTTGTGATTGCCTGCTACCTTTCGTTCACCCCCTCCTCTCTCAAGTTGAAGAAGGGGACATGTCCCATGTGGTGGAAGTGGGCGGAAGATGGCTGACATCTCAGCGCGCGGCCACCGCGGCTGGTGTTCTTTTTTGGTTGGCCGCGGTGCGGTCTCGGTTTTGGAGTGAGGTTAGTACTGGACTGCATCCTGGATCTGGAGAAGGAAGCGCAGAACATGAAGGTCTGGCAACTAGAGGCCTTCTGCCGCGGAACCGACCGTGATTCCAGTGTTTCGTTTCTTGCTTTTCAACGCATGCGACGGGTCATGTGGCTTGGCAGAAGAGGGAAATAAGGGACATCTCAGGACTCAATGGACTGTTTTACTTTATGACCCATATGTCATATGAACCTCCTTTTTTCTCCGCGTTGTCTCAAAACGCCGAATTGGCGCTCGCTTGGACATCCGCAGGTGGAAATCCAACGAATCGCCATCAAGAGCGTTCGTGATGCTCAAGACGCCTCGGCCACTTGAAGCAGTTTTACATACCAGCTTGTCAAGCATGTGATATTACACATGCCAAGCAAGTATTTGAGAATTCAACATCATATTACCTGTCATATGCAACATTTTTGGTTATTTGATTGATTCTGCAGCCACAAATGACCTGGGTGATAGATGATACCTGGCAGCCTGGGTGGTCTCTCCTCTCAGTGGTGCCCAACTCTAAGGAGACGGAGCATGATGCTAACCTGCTGCAGCTGCTTTTCGACCAACCAACCAGGTGGACGGACTTGTGCTGTGATGGGCACTTTTTTGGGTCGCGCAAATTGGGTTGCAATTTGATTCAGATTTGTTGTTCTAAGTTAATCCAAGACCTTTCAGGAAGATCAGCGATCTCGAAGCATTTGACCCCCGCTGGTGTAGGTAGATCGGTGACGCCCGTCAGATGGCATTGTTGGTCAATTGGGCGTCTGCCGGCCGCTGTAGCGGCTTTGTGTGGCCACATGTGAAGGCTTCGATACATTATCATCGAAGCCTTTATCTCGTTCCGCCAAGCGGCTGCAGGCGCTTGTGGCCCTCTGAGGGGGGGCTGCATGTCTTGGGATACATGGTGACATTTTTAGGTTGAAGGCCATATCTATTAGTTTTCTTATTCTACAGCTGCTCTGAACAGATCGTAGAGTGTAATGGCACGTTTTTCCATGAACTGCACGATGTCGTTTTGATCCGAGCAACACCGCGCAACACCGCGTCGATGCACTGCCTTCAGATCTTGCGCGGCTCCTGCAGAATGAACCGATTTGGGCACGGCTGCTGGACCGAAAGTGGCTGAATGCCTCAGGCCCGGTTCCGCGGTCCGGATGACCGAGCGAGCGAGGGTTCGCCGCGGTCCATGGTGAGCGAGCGAGAAACGAAACGCGCGCGGGGTCGCGAGGCCTCAATGAGTTCCAGCTCTACCACACGCAGCAGAGCGGCATGCGCATGCTGAAGGATTCCGCAGCACATTTGGACAAGGGTACCATCAACTTGTGCCTTGGAATGCGGGCATAGCTTGGAGTGCCGACATACGGATTCGCACCAGTACTGTTGCAGTGTTGATCGGGCTGCGGAACAGAACTTCGTATTTCAATCTTTTCGAAGCTCAAGATTCTGAACATCCAATTCTGGCAGGTGAATCCAGGTCATTCTGGCAGGATTCGCACGTGAAAAAATCGGATTCGGAGTGTCCTTTTTCGTCACCTCGCCATGCGACGCCCACCGCCCACCGCGACGCGACGGCCGCTCCAAGAGACCAGAAGCACCTTAACGGCCGCGGAGCCGAGGAGTGCCTTGCACACCATCATCCGACATCGCAAGGTCTATGAATCGCTGGTGGCCCAGGCGCTCGGCCGCACGGCGCGGACGTGAAACGTGCAACGGCGGTGCGGCGATGCCGAAGAGGGGTCGCTCTCGCGAAGCGAAAGCGACGGAAGCGAGCGAGTCATGGGACCCGAAGATGTGTCGCCCTGGACACGCGACACGACCCCTCTCTTTGAATGGTGGTCGTCACCAGTCACCAGTTACTCCGAGGATAGTTCTGGCTCTGTCAGTGATAAGCCGACTTTTGGGAGCCAACGGAAGAGTTTGAAGTTCGACTGTGGAGCAGGAGTAAGCTCAACTCGTGCCAGGAGTTGCTATATGATCCATATATGCCCTAGAAGTCCAGTTCGACTATGCTTTGACCAACTGAAGTGAAGGAAGTTTCTTTTCGGGTCACCGTTCGTCAGACCATTCTTTTCATAGTCTTTGACTCCCAGGCTAATCATGATGTTATTCAACGCCATTTCACTACCCTCCCCGGACAGCGCGACCCCCGGACGGTCTCCGAACCGGACAGTGGGCACGAACGGACCCGGCCGAACGGGACCGGTGAGGTGGCCACGAAGCCCACGGCGATTCCCGATAGCCCCTTGGACGCCCGCAGGGGACGCAGGACGGAGCCTATTCGCAACGCGAGAGGTGTGGCCACGGAATTCCCGGTGAAGATCGCTGAGCAGCGTTCTTTTTTTAGAAAAGAAAGGAAGGGACCGAAGGGAACCGAAGGGAACCGAAGGGAAAGGGTTCAAGGCGGTCCGCGGCCATTGGTGAGTCGGTGAGGTCACCAGAAACTGAGCCAATTCGACACCGAGTTTGAGCACTTGAGGGCCTATGTGAAGATGTGACTTGGAAATAACAGAAACAGATTTGCAGACGGAAGCAGCTGGGAAATGGATCTTCACTCCCAGAAAGCAACGCCAGAAGAGGTATATCGAAGCTTTGAGAGAGGAGATGATGACAGCAACCAATGTCTTTTAGATGTGGTAACCATATGAGTCAAGTCATTCCACCTGTACCCCGAAGTCTTAGGGCCAACAACGCAAAACCTCTTCGCCCAGGTTCTGCTCCAGTGCCTCCATCGAGGCCGCCGAGCTGCAAAAGCTCATCGACGGGCGCCTCGGATGCCGCGCCGCGTGGGGCGGGGAGGGAGTGCCGCGGGGGTCGAACCGCCTCGAGTCTCTTTTTGGGGGGTGCCTTGGCTGGGGCAAAAGGGAGTTTGCATGAGTTTGCTTTTATTTGGTAGAACTTTCTGTGACTAGATCTCGATCTAGTCCACCAAATCTTCAAGCGATCACTTGGGTGGTGTCTTCAAGCGATCTAGTTCACCTCTTTGTGCGGGTGATCTGCATATATGCAGCAATTTGATTCAAGGGTGTGATTTTTCAGTTACTTAAGACCACGAAGCTCACATCTGGAGCTGCTCGACTTGCAAGTTGCGCGCACACTCACCACCTCGAGGATTTTGGAGTCCTACAACGTCTTAGAGCTCAACATTGCCGCGAGCAAGTTCACCGGCCTGCAGGTGAGGCCCCACTTGCACCTTGCCTTGACAGCGACGTGGGTGTCGCCGCGCGGCGGTCTCCTCGTTATTTTATTTGGTGTTTTTTGCGAACGGCTCACATGGTAGACACATGGGTTTGCGGACCTTGGCGAAACCCCGGTTGGAGTGATGAAGAGACTCTTCCGGGGGGGGGGTAGCTCGCCCATTGGCGCCCAGAACCTGTGGCTCCCCTTCTTCCCCGGCACCGGGTGCACGCGGCACGGCACCGGTGAACCCAGGTCTTGGTTGAACTCGCTGAAGGGCAGCGATGTCTTCTCGGGCATTTGGAAGCAGACGGCGCGCCCGGAGGGCGACAGCTCGGAGCGGATCATCAACCAGGAGGAGGCGGAAGAAGCGGAGCCCGGGCTGCGCAGTCCCGGCGCAGTCCCGCGTGAAGCGGATGTTCGATGTGTATCCGCGGGCAGCGTGGGAAGGCGTCCAGTCTTGAACTAATTCGGATCGGTGTCGCCGCGGGTGTCGCCCTCGTTCGCGCCTCTGCTCTGCGCCTCTTGACCGCTGCGCCAGTGCCCACAGGTGGTGACCGGCATCATCCCACAAGCGAAGAAGACCTGGGAGGACGGTACGGAGGGACGGAGTGCCTCGGTGCGCTGCGACGTGATTTCCGCCGCCGGTGAGGACCAAAGAAGAGCTTCGGTTTCACCGAAGGTGGTAGCCTACCTGAGTGACCATGAGTGGCCAGTCCAAAGTCCCGAAGGTTACCCTAGCCTTCAAAGACCATTAAAAGAACGGTTGAGCTGGTGGTGTAGTGTAAAAATCCTTAGTAAAACAATGGTTCTTTGGTAAAGACCATTAAAACAATGGTTGTTTGAATCCTAGGGTTAGTTTTGTTCTCCTCTCAAAGGCCCGAGGTCATATATGGGTTCTAGCTACACAGACCATGGGTGAGGACACGTGCGTCCACCAGCTGGGGAGAGGGTGCGGGAGACCGGTGGACGCGGTGATGATGGTCCATCAGAGGTCTTTCAAGACCTCATTTTGGGATGGGCATGGATGTGAAATGCATTGGCAGTCATCAGCGGGTAAGAGCATTCACCCTTGCAGCTGCTGTTTTCGGGGTGTTTTTGGGCCATGGCCTGTTTGGTCGGCTGGCTCTGCACCTGGAGGTTGGCTGGGCCCACCTCTCAAGAGAGTGTCGCCAGGATCTTTCCAAGAGCATTGAGACAGGGCAGGCCATCCTGAAGGACCGCAACTGCCTCGGTCCGTCCGCGCGGAACGCGCGGAAGGAAGCGGAAGAAAGAAACCGTGCACGCGGTTGGTGGGGCGAGGTCGGTCGGTCTGCTGCGGGGAGGATGGGGAGGACATTGGAGTCACAAGAGGTATACCATTTGGACCATCCTGGACCACAAACCAGCAAACATGATCCTTTTTCCTATCAAAATGGAGGTCTTCCGGACTTCCAGGATGCTAGTACCTGCAAGGGAAGGGTCTCCTATAGTCACCTCCATGGGTGACCGGGTGCGGAACTTCCGAGCGCTGTGCCGAGAAGCGGATCCGCTTGGATGCCGAGAAGCAATTGGGTGTTCCGAGAGGCATCTGTAAAACAAGCGGAGCCTGCAATCGATCTACAAAATGGAAGAAAAGGCGAGGTGAAGTGTTGCCTGAGCAGGCACGACTTGAAGTGCAAGCACAACGAGAAAAAGGAGGGGCTTGGAGACAGGATCGCAGAGCTCCTTATTGGCTGAAGGCAGCTCCAGTCGCAACAGTGCCTTTGCTCAGTTGCCCTGGCCACCTCTGTCCCGAACATGGGTGAATTTCTCATCGACGAGAAGAACGACCAAAACGGGTGAACGTGGCGTCCCCTCCGATAGGAATTGAGTTCTTATGGTTGTTCTGCGCCGAGACGGGCAAACGGGCAGACGGGAGAACGAGGAGAGCCAATCGGAGTTGGACCCTGCCAGGCCAGCGCCCTCTCTCTGTCTCTCTCTCTCTCTCACTATATACTTGGGAGTTTTGTGTTGTTTCTTATATAATGATTCTGTATTTTTGTTGGGCGACAGGCACCCTCCGCGGTGGGTGTGTTTCAGGATTTTGCAGACAGTGGTTTCACACAGTAGGACCATCCTATGTTGCGGGCAAGCGAATATTCGGCCCGTGGTTTGCTGAAGGGTTTGTTGTTACCATAGATGGCCTTGTCACTATTTGTTGGTTGATCAATAGAGCGGGTATCGGATACCCGGAGACGTGTAGAACCAATACCAGCACCCGACTGTACAGTACAGGTCACCAATTGAAACCTCTTAGGGCCTTTCCCAACCCTCCGTTTCGGAGACCTGTTGAGATCTGGCACCGCCGCCACGTTCTTCTTCCCCAAGTACGGACATCGCTGAGTTGTTACCGTTGGCTCTTGGGCTCGTGTGCTCGCTTCTAAGATGGATCCCCACCGTACCCGAACACCACGTCGTGCCTTGGGTTCGAGGAAGTTCGGAGTAACCGGCGGCCAGGATATCCGCTGGGTGGTGGAGTTCCAATGGAACAAGGTGAATTTGGAGCTCAAGCTTTTGGCACCTTGACAGCCTTTTCATCCTTGGCAGATGGCCTTGAGTGGTGTGGGTGACGTGGGTGGGTTTGTATTCACATGACAGCTGGGTGGTCTGGTTTTTCGAAAGATAGGATTCAGATTGAGACCCAGTCAGTCAAGTACTGGGTCAGCAGTTGCACGTACATGGCCACCCTCGCCGCCACAAGGTCATTACTACTATAGTAGCAAGAAGGTACTAGTAGCTCCGGGCCTTACTACTATACCAACAAGAACGCTACTGGTAACAAAGGGCATCGCTACGAATGGAGCAAGGACGTGGGGTGAGTTGCTTCGGCCGAGGAATCCACGGCGCCCAAGACCAAGCCTTGGGTGGCAGAGGCAGACAACCCGCGCGGTGGTGTTGAAACCAAGTGATATGTTGAATATGTTTCAAGAGCTGCCAAGAACTTGAATCGAAAGGCAGTCAACAAGAAATTGAGCGTCGTTGTGAAGCGTCCGATTCACTCATGTGCAGAATCCGTGCCAAAGCTTTTCCTTTCACACCAACAGGCTGTTGAGCTGTGCCGCTCGATGCGCCTGGCGGCAAAGCTCCGCGAATGGGCCCCAAGCATCCTGGCGTGAGGATACAAGCGACGAAGCCACAGCCTGGGGGATGCATTAAGGATCTAGGCTTTTATCAAAAACACCATAAGCTTTGTCAAAGCCGCGTCCTAGCCGAAGCCGTGGGCCCGAGGTATGCTTCACCTCCGGAACCATAGCTTGTCCGAACTCTTCAAAGAGACTCCCAAGGAGTCAGCTGACACGTCGGCCCGATCCGCCCGACAGGTCCCGACCGACCGGTCAAGCGGTTTGAGACTCAACACGGGTCAACGAAGTACGGCCGGAGGGTGCTGGTCAAGGGATCCGGATCCGCGACCGGGTCACCCATGGGGTGGCGGCACGGAAGCCGTGTGGTGGAACCGGGCAGGATGAATGTGTGGAGAAGCTGAACCAAGTGGTCTGCGAGTATGAGCACATGTGGACCAAGACCCTGGGCGAGATGACCGCAAGCCGGAGCTCCCAGACTGTGCGAGGACGAGTCGTGCCGAAGCCCCGTCCGATTCGAGGAGTTTCGGGGGCGGCCCAGGTGTGAATCCCTACCGGGAGACCATCAACACGCTCTCAGAGGCGATGCAGGACGGTCGATTTTGGGGTGTGCCACTCTGTTAACAACTGATGAAACAGTTCTATTCTCAAGTCTCTGTTATTTTGGCTCCATCCATTGACAAAAACGCCGCGCTCCCTTTTTCGACCCCATGTCCGAGCAAGCGCAAGCGCGCGCTTGAATTGGCGCGCCAGTGAACTGGCCCTGGCAGCTCGTTTGCAGGACTACACCATCACGGCCGCCAAGCATGACAAATCCTTGGAGTGGCTCTTGCAGCACAGCTCCACCGAGGACGGGAGACCGCGACGTCCGAGGTTACGGTTGGTTCATCGGTGGTGATCAGCCGATCTGCCTGGCTGGATCCTAGATGTGATGGGATCGGCTTCTTCTCCGGTCTTCGCCCGAATGAGGCCTCCTCATGTTGGGGTTTGAAGTTGACCGAGAAAAACCATAAAATTAACACATACTTTCTATTTGATTGGACTCGAAAGCGCAGCATGACTGGCCCATCTTTCCCAGGACTTCAATCGCCTCATCTCCCTCTGCACGCCCAATACAGATGATCCCATTATTCTGGCAGCGATCGCTTCTCTGTGCCTTGCAGCGGGTGGGGCGGTTTTGGGGCAGCCTTGATTGCTCTTGAGGCATTTTGGAGGTCGTATTGGACTCGATGACGGACAGATGCAAGTCATCTTCTATAAACATGACCGAAGCGAACTGAGGAAGCAGATGCGAACTTTCCTGGCAGAGGCGGGGTGGAAAAGGGGGGGATGTGGGGGGATTGAGGATGGGTGTTGCCATTCATCTCCATTGATCATGCAGTCCTGAGGTCCAATCCACCTGTCGGGGTCCCGTCACCGGACAACCCCCACGTCAAAGGACTGGTTTCGTTGCCTTCCTCGGTCGCAGTCGCAGTCGCAGCGACTGCGCGAAGCAACGTCACAGGTGCTGTTCACCAAGCCTCCCTACGCCGGGCTCAAGAAGTTCATTGAGGACCGCGTGTGATGAGGTTCCAAGGTGTGGAAGAGATGACACCAGCAGAATTTCGACACCTTTCCATCTCCGATGGAGGCCGCAAGAATAGCTTGGAGGCCATCGCCTAGCTTGTATGGCATCGTTTTCAGAACCCGAACGTTCGACCTATCCGGTAGCCCCTGTTTTCCGGGTCCTTACGGATCCGTCCTCCCAACCTGCCTTCCAACCTGCACGACACGTGGAACGTCCGGTCCGTCCCCAGGAACTCTCGCGCCTCCACGTGGATGCGGCGGAGCGCCTCCGTTGCGGGGCGGGCGGGCGATGAGGGCGGGACGATGGTTTTTGGGGGGTTGGAGGCTCTTGTAATCGTATTATAATCGTATTAATTGTTTCATTTTTGATTCTTGTCATCGAATGGATGAATGGATGAGATCGTTAGTTTCATATTCTCTTGGATTCTCTTGGTTTTCGGGTGAAAAAACCCCTCCCCCGCTTTTGAGAAGGGACCGAGTCCTTCTCGTACTCGAGGTTCCGACGTGACGGGTGTGCGTCGAACACGTGGCCGCAAATGCGCTTGGTGCTCAATTGGTCTTCACCCAGGAAAAAGGGCAATTCGGCGATTAGAGGTTTGATAGCTCCTTGAGCTCCTTCGGCGATGTTTTCCCGTTACTCTTTTCATTTGACGAAGCATCACTGAGGCAGCAATGCTTGGAATCGGTGCAGACCAGCTTCGATCCCATGTTGGACCTCCTGACAACGCACTCTCGAACGCCTGGTGTCCAGGTGCGTGAATTGTGAGCGTGTTGTGAGCTCTCCCAATGAGTTTCTTATTGGATGCTTGAAATAGTGATATGGCTCTGGGTCAGCCCCAAACCAGGTGGACCTCCCGGTCGGTCGTCTGTTCTGTTCATTTTTGCTGGGAAAAACCAAGGTTCCCCCAATTTGGACCCACCACCATATGCATTGATACGTTTTCATCAAGCTTGGATTTCTGAGCTCTTGACTCACTCACTCTCTTCGAAGCCGAACAACTCACTTCTCCGAAGAAAAAGACCAACAACTCCAACATCCCGGATCCGGACGCGTTCTTCGCTCAGGTGGCCCCCTTCCCTTCGCGCCGAAGCTCCTGACCGCTCCTGACGGAGCGTCGGTCCAGGCGTGCTACGACCTGAAGAAGATCTCCCTGTCGGGCACCTTCCACGTGACCTGCGCGCTCACCGAGACGGCCCGGGGAGCCGAGCCAAGCGCAAGGAGCAGTGCTAGTAACAGGGGCAACTAGCTAGGACCAGTAGCTAGAATCTACCAGTAACAAGTGCTATAGATACCTTTAAGGGGTGGTGACGCGAGTGATTCGCCTGAGAAGATGGTGGAATGGTGTTTGCTGGGTCATGGAAAGAGAAGTTCAAGCCTACACTGCGTACACCTTCAAGATTCCAGATTGGGGTATGGATATGGGGACATGCGCTCACTTTCACACCTGCCGCACATGTCTGCTCCGACTCCGGAATTTCATGCAGCCGGAGACATTTTTGGGATCAGCTGAACGGGCTCTTCCTGTCCCATCCGATGGATAGATCTGCTGATGTCTCCCCCAAATGTAAAGAATTAGATATGGAATTAGTATCATCAATATATGTTATATAATAGTGAACATCTCTGAGAGGAAGACCCTTTTGAACCAAGGCCCAGCTGAAATGCCGCATGCCGCCGGATAGCGAATTTGACTATGAGGTGCCAGAGCGTTTGGAACTTTTCGATTGGGAGACAGGGTGGTTGAAGAAAAGTCGAAGATGAGGAATGAACGAAAGAAGAGTTTCATTCTGAAGAAAGGAGGCCATCGAGCACTCTTCTTGGCATTCTTTGTACAGCCTTGCTGTTCTGGGCCAATGCTGGCGAGCTTTTTGGAGGACCATCTTTGACATACCAAAAAGAAGTCCTCGGGTGAACCTCAAACACAAGCCGGGAAACAACCCGAAAGAAGACAATAGATTTGGAGGGGGCCATACTATATCCGGCGAGACAAGAGTGATATCCACCCATGCCCATGTTGACACTCACTTGATCAGTAAACGCTCCAGATCATGGAGATATAGAACCCTCCTGGTAGGGAGTCAACATGAAGTCTTTGATCCCCTCTTAAGATGAGCATGTCTAGATGACTTTACGATCCCCTTCGTTGCATCCTTCTCCTTTGATACACCGTGACAGACCGTGGCGTGGCTTGCCGGCACCAGCCGCCGTCGCTTCGCGTCTTCTCGCTGCCGAAGGGCCCTTTCGAGTTCAACGATCTTTAAGACATCTTTAAAGTGATCGGTTTCCAATACATCGAGTTTTTCCCCAAACAGTTTACTGTTAGGGGTTCTCAATGCTTTAAAGAATGGTCCCCTTCGTGCTGGATGGTCTGGTCGGGTTCCCGGCCGGCTTGTCTCCCACTTCCTTTCATTTGTCTCCCAGTTCTTTTCATTTGTCTCCCAGGCTGGGTGCTTGTGGTCGGGTTCCCGGCTGGCTTGTCTCCCGCTTCCTTTCATGTGTTTCCCACTTCTTTTCATTTGTCTCCCACGTCCTTTCATTTGTCTCCCACTTCTTTTCATTTGTCTCCCAGTTCTTTTCATTTGTCTCCCAGGCTGGGTGCTTGTGGATTTGTCTTCCACTTCTTTTCATTTGTCTCCCAAGCCGGGTGCTTGTGGTCGGGTTCCCGGCTGGCTTGTCTCCCACTTCCTGTCATTTGTTTCCCACTTCTTTTCATTTGCCTCCCACGTCCTTTCATTTGTCTCCCAGTTCTTTTCATTTGTCTCCCAGTTCTTTTCATTTGTCTCCCAGGCTGGGTGCTTGTGGTCGGGTTCCCGGCTGGCTTGTCTCCCGCTTCCTTTCATGTGTTTCCCACTTCTTTTCATTTGTCTCCCACGTCCTTTCATTTGTCTCCCACTTCTTTTCATTTGTCTCCCAGTTCTTTTCATTTGTCTCCCAGGCTGGGTCCCACTTCCTGCATTTGTCTCCCACTTCTTTTCACTTGTCTCCCAGGCTGGGTGGTTGTGGTCGGATTCCCAGCTGGCTTGTCTCCCACTTCCTTTCATTTGCCTCCCACTTCTTTTCATTTGTCTCCCAGTTTTTTCAATTGTCTCCCAGGCTGGGTGCTTGTAGTCGGGTTCCCGGCGGTCTCCCACTTCCTTTAGGCTGGGTGCTTGTGGTCGGGTTCCCGGCTGGCTTGTCTCCCACTTCCTTTTATTTGTTTCCCACTTCTTTTCATTTGTCTCCCAGGCTGGGTGCTTGTTTCCGGCCGGCTTGTCTCCCACTTCCTTGCATTTGTCTCCAACTTTTGCCCCAAACAGTTTACTGTTAGGGGTTCTCAATTCTTTCTTAAGATGTGTCACTGCTGGTGTCCGCCCATTTCCACTGGCCATGTAGCATTTCTAATTTATCATTTTTCTCCCAGGTCTACTGCTGGTGTCCGCCCTTTTCCGCTGGCCATGCAGCATGTCTATTCATTTGTTTCCCGGGTCTGTCACTGGTGCTGCCGCCCTTTTCCGCTGGCCATGTAGCATTTCTATTCATTTGTCTCCCATGTGATTTCTTTCTTTTTGTCTTTCAGGTTTGGTCCATGCACTGCTGTTTTCTGCCCTGTCCGCTGGAACAGGTTCACCTGTTGCGTGACTGTCTCCGGGATTGCATTCCTGCCACACTGTGTAACACTCAGCTTTGTTTTCCTTTTCGGGCAAGCGTTGGATGAATGACCGGATTGGATTTCGGCGGCGTGGCAGCCATCTCTCTGTTCAGTTGGGACGGGGGGCATACGTCAGGCACCAAAAATCAATTTCATGTCACATCCTTCGCTCCTCATGCTTTTGTTTCTTGTCCTCACGTGGTCAACTCCCCGCTGATTGAGCAGCATGACCAGCATCATGTTCGCACTTGAAGAATAATTCCCCAAAAGGTTTACTGTTAGGGCTTCTCAATTCTTTCTTAAGATGTGTCCGCCCGCTCTGTACTGCTGTGTCCGTCTCTGCCTTGCAATCCTTTACATTTGTCTCCCAGCTCTGGGCTGCTGCGGCCGCCTCTGCCTTGCAATCCTTTGTCTCCCACCTCTGGACGTCGCAAGCTCTAGTTTTGATTTTGAAAACACAAACTGTTTGGGGTCTACGGTGGTGTAATCCAATCTTTAAAGTGGCCACTATCTAAAGTGATCTTTAAGTCAACTAAGATAGTGGCACGGTTTCCAAAGCATGTTCTACGTTGGGATCTACGAACTTCTATCTATGACAGGGGGTCGTTCCATGTCTGACCCAGTCGTCAGGCGGACCTCCGAGTCAGACCTCGTTCTTCGGAGAAGGTCGGCCGTGGAACACCGGCCGCGACGACGGTTCTTCGGTCGCCAGGCGTTGGCCGAGTTGCGACGGCAGCTTCTCATGACGGATGTGCCTTACGTGTCTGGGCGGCCTGAGGTCTGGACCGGGGTTCCGTGCGGGTTCGCTGTGCCACGGATGGCCGGTGGGTGCCATCCGAGACATGTTCGGAGCTCCGTCCGGACGACTTCGCGGACGCAGTTGGTTTTCGCGTGACTGGAACGTGGCGGATTCGTCGGGAGATCGGCGTGACGTCGCGGTCGGGCAGATCACGGCACGGTTCCGCGTTCTGTCCGCTCCGGAGGAACGACGCGGGAAGCGGCCGCCGGCTACGAACGGAGCGATCGGACGGCGACCGAACGGAACAAACGGATTTCGCCGAAGCGTCCGGAGGAATCGTTCCTAGTAGCGAACATTGCTCCGTTCGTAAGGCTAGGAGCCCCAGATAGCGTCCGATCGCTCCTGATGAGGTTGATTGATGGCTTGAGGTTTATTTCTGAGGTTTATATTTCTGTGAGGCTTGCAGCTGTTGGTTCAGGCTCCAAGTTTGTTGGGGAGTCCCGCTGTGTATATCGGTCCTCGATCTAAACGATGGTGCTTGGACGTGTTGCTTGGCTTTCAGGCCTCGTGTTCGCCTGCGACGCATCCGTTTCGTTCCTGACCATTGGTGATTGGGGTGGCTACGACCTCGGTAGTGACCATCAGACCACAGTCACCACTGTGGCAGAGCAGATGGCTAAGACGGCGGAAGAGAACAAGGCTGCATTTGTGGTGAACACCGGTGACAATTTCTACTATTGTGGCATCACCAGCACTGCAGATAAGCAAGTGGCAGACGACTTCACCAATGTCTACAAGGCTCAATCCTTGTCGGTCCCATGGTATTCGGTCTTAGGGAACCATGAATACGGCTACAATGTGGAAGCACAGTGCGAGCTCTCGCAAAGTGTGCACAATTGGGTCATGGACAGCAGGTATTACTCCAGGCGCGTGGCTTTGAGTGGCCAAGTTCACATCTCCTTCATCTTCCTGGACACCTCTCCCTGTGTTTCGGCCTATCGTGGCGATGATGAATCCAAGTGGGATCCCTGCGGCTCCGACTTTCCCACCTGCGATCCCATCGATGAAGGACCCTGCAAATTCCATGAGAATATCCTCTCTCAGAACTGCAGCAGCCAATTCCAATGGTTCAAGCAACAAATTAGCCAGGTGCGATGGCACACTCTGCAACAAGCCTGGCAGCTTTGGTGTGTACTTCTTTTATTTTATTGTTTTGTGAAGAGAAACATGGATTGTAACTTTCAACCTTTAATGAGTCGGGTTAGGATGAAAAACGACGGGCATATCGCCGATACATTTTCTGCTCAGTCGCCGCGCGTCGCCGCGCGTTTGATTTATTCTTCCCTGGAGGTTCCCAAAAAGGACTGGCTCATCATTGTGGGTCACCATCCTTCTGATGAGATGGATGTGGAGGATTTTGTGTCCGTGATGGCCGAACATGGTTTCGATTTGTACCTGAATGGCCACACCCATCTCCTGAACCAGTACACCCTTGGTGGCAAAGGTGGGATCTTTTTCAGACGCGGCGTGTGATCGTGATGCAGCCGGTATTTGTACACATGCTTCAAAAAAAAGAGAAGAAGGGCACAATCCATGTGAAAGGAAACGAGCAAGTAGATGTTACGGGATCTTACTTGCTTCTTTTATTCCGCCGGTTTCTCCTTTTTTTTTTTTTCGTGTTTCTATCTCTCTCTCTCTCTCTTTCTTTCTCTGAGTTACTTGGTTGTCCGGTGGTGTTGAACACCCAATTGGACACCCCGGTCGTGTCGTGGTTTCCTTTCCGACCCTACCCCGGTCGTCGACCGAGGTGCCTATGTCACCAGCGGTGCGGGGGCCATGGTGAAGACGCCCGACCAGTCGACCGAGGAGGAGCACCTCATCGGTGGAGACGTTCAGACGATCTGGGAGCAAAAGGTGGCAGGTGCGGAGCGCGGAGCGGTGCGCGGTTCGGAAGGGGGGGCGGCAGGCAGGCAGTGTGGGATGGGATGATGCAAGAGGATGAGGATGGGCTGTGATGTTTCCCATTTTTTGATGATTTTAGTCGCAATTGGAGATGACGGGGAATTAGCGAGCCGGAGTATGAGTCGTTCTTCTTTCTTTTGTGTTTGCTTCCATTTTCTCATCCTGTACGTCTTTCGCTGGTTGTTTTTATTTGCTACATCGACGGATGTGAGGCTTCACTCTCCACAAGTTCTCCAGTGACTTCCAAGAGCTCCAAACTCAATTTGTGGATTACAAGGGCCAGGTCCTTCATCAATTCTCGTGAAGCGTGGAACAGCGCCCTCGCCTCCTCCACCCACCAAGGGTTCGTGCAAGACCTATGGGTGCGGGCGCTATGACCCCACGCACAGCTGTCAGTGCAACGACTACTGCAAAGCGCATGGGGATTGTTGCTCCGACTGGAGCACTACATGTGCAGGCCCAGGCGGCTCGTGTAAGGTCTACGGCTGCGGCAGGTTCAACTACAGCCACAGTTGTCAGTGCAACCAGTATTGCAAGGAACACTCGGATTGTTGCTCTGATTACGACTCCGTTTGCGGAGGCTTGACATATGTGTGAATCAGTTCAAATTGATTTACCAGCGTCGTTGTCCTTTTGTGTCTCATCGGAGTCAAACATATGAATCTTCTTCCAAAAAGGACAAAGACACATGACCTGGTTTGGCTCAACCGTTGGCGGCTGCGATTGGCAGTGCAGCTTTTGGGCCTTAAATTGTCTGACCTGCGGCCTCTAGGGCCTCGGAGCAGCCCCGCGAAAATGCCCGACTGGACGCCCTTAGACACGTACGGACGCGCAAACTCCACTGCGTGTGGTCACGCGCGGGTGGGAGGTTTTCTTTTGGGCCGAGGCAAGTTTGGAGGTCCCTTTTTGGGGAGACCTGCTTTTGGGAGACTTGGAGACCGCTTTGGGAACTTTCACATCTCAAATAAGCGCGCTCGATTCATCTCTTGAGAGGCTTTCAGATCTCTTTAGCTCTTTTCAGCTGCTTTTGATGGCAAAACAAACAGCTAAGGAGTTGGACGGAGCGAAAGATTTGCCAAAGATGCTGGATGTCTTGGTCGCGAAGCTTCAACTCCTGGAGGACACCTCCTCGGGTCGAGGCACATGGAAACGATCCGGCTCGGTGGCCGTCGTTCTTTATTTCTGGTTTTCTTTGTAAGTTCCTTTAGGTTTCTGGCACAGCCAAAGAGGTTTTTGTTGGTAAGTTCAATACTTTGGCAGATCTATCTATATACTGACTTACTTCATCCGGTGGGATGGTTCAGGATCAGACCCAAAAAGGACACCTGTGTTTCGACCGGTGTTTCGACCGGGAGACCGGTGCAGTCGAACGGTGCTCGTCCCGGTGAGGACTTTGGCCGCTGCACCATGGAGCTCTTCCGACTAGGCGATGTCGGTGTCGGGGGACAGGGGGAAGGAACGGAGCCAATGGGGCGGCGAAGGCGTCGTCGTCGATGGCTAAAGGCATCGTCGAGGGTTCGGTGTTCGGTGTGGTTTTCGTTGGTTGGGACCACGTGTGTCATGGGAAGCGATGATCGCCTGCAATTGGTTCTTCTCCACTTGCTGTGTCTAGCCGCTCTGTCACTTCTTCAGGGATCACCTCCCTAGTCCGTAGGGATCCAAGTACCTTCTCAGGTACGGTGATGTGTTCGACACTGTATACCCTGGGAGTCAAAGACTATCAAAAGAATGTTCTGACTAGGTGACCCGAGTCTAGGAATATGCTTTACTTCAGTTGGTCGAAAGCATCGTCGAACTGGACATCAGTTGGGTATACAATGGGCCAGACCGCTGCGAGGAGGCCTGTCCGCGGGAGCACGACAACGGACCGTCCTCGGATGCCGTCAGTCGTCCGCGGACCTGTCATCCAGGTCACTTTGCCTATCGCCTCAACGACGAGGTGCTCGTGGTTCCACCCGAGGAGCGCTCAGTTTCACGTCGGTCGGTCTTCTTGTCCAACGACGAACGGTGACGGCGAGGGGATGAGGATGAAGATGACTCCCTCGATGACGGCGAAGGAAGGAACTGAAAGGAACCGAAACCGTGCGAAATCGCTCGCGGCCATCGCGGCCATCGCGGCGTAGGGAAGAACAAATCATGGGCCATAGCCGCCAGAGCTGCTCTTTGGATATAAACGAAGGAATCTCCAAACAAAGAGAACCGACCATTGGTTCATTTTGCGCGCAGTGGAGGACACGGTGGAATCCGTGGCGAAGCGCTTGGAGGCGGGGAGATGAGATGGACGCTGCTAGTCACTGCTAGTCGGTTGTGCTTTGGTGATACTCTCAGTATGGATACTGGATAGTCGTTTAAATTCACACGCTTCAGCCCTTCCAGGAGGTTTAACATATAGTTATATAGTTCTCTCTGAAACTATATCAACCCCTTTTTGTATTGATACACAGTACGCACATGTATGTATACACACAAATCCCTTCTGTTTCCACCGTCGTTTGCACATGCCGGCCGTCGGTTCTTTGCGCTCCGATGGCGCTCCCAGGCACAACAGCAGCAATTGGAAGACTGGCAACAGGCGGTGAGCGATGCCCGGAGCAAGCATTACTTCCTGTGCCTCGGCGCCCGCGCGGTGCCGGTCGAGCGCCACGACGACGGGCGGAACCTGGAGCGGTCGAGCAGTGTTCTTTTTGAGTGTGAAGCGCCCGCGGTGGGGGCACGCGGTGGGTTTCTTCGCCATGCGTCGATCGGCTCCGGCTTTTCTTCTTATACTATAGTAGTAAGGCCAGGAGCGCTCCCAGCGTGCGTCCTTGCTCCTATAATAGTAGAAATGCCCTTTGTTCCACGTAGCTTCTTGTTACTAGAAAGACTGTTTCTCCGGCACCCTTGTCTCGGCCGTTCCCCGGATCGATCTCCGGTGCGAAATTGGGCCGAGGAACTACTACACGGTGCGCGAGCTCTGCTTCCTGACCGATCTCCTTCCCAACGTGGACAACGACGAGGCGCACACCAGCGATGGGTCCACCACGAGCGAACGGTCTGCGGGCGGTGGAAGCGGGCGATGGCGAACGGTGCCAACGTGCGTGGTCTTTTGGGAAGCTTCTCCATGCTGAAGTCCTGGTGTACTGAGAATTGGAGCAAGTGCTCAATATTGCATGTGCCATCATGTGCCTCATATGGCTGTCCACTTCAGCATGAGAAGCTGCTTAAAGATGGTCAAGTCGTTTCCCATCCATCCGAAAGTGAACTGGGTGCTGTGCTGAGCTTGTGTGCTGTGGCTGTGACGGCTGTGACCGCGTGCGGCCGCGTGGCGCGTGACGCATGCAGAGGAGTGGGGTAAAGTCTGGCCGCTGCTACAATGCGTGGACCTCTCTGCCGATGAGAACCGCACCAGGAAGAACATCCTCTCCCAGCTGAAAGGCAGAACGAGAATGAGAACGACCAACCGGTTTGGATGGTGTAAGTCGTGTTCGGGAAGTAGTGGTGAGCCAACGAAAGCACCGCGAAGAGACGAAAGAATCGATGTTTTTCTATTGAGATTTCATGTCCGCCATCATGAAGAAATAATATGAAATAATAACAGTTGAATTTCAAATGGAAAAAGGACGACACGTTTCAGGTCTTTCACATCCGTTTCTCTCCTCTTTGTTGTTTCCATCCATCCCGTTTCAGGCGATTTGGCTCTCCTGCGCACCTCCAGTGGAGAGCCCGACCGCGAGGTCCCTCCGGTGTCTACGCGTGGCGCGTCCACTGCAACGGCCCACTGCATTGGGCAGCCCCAGGTTTGGTGACCAGCCTCATACGTCACCAGAGTCTCACCGGACTCTGAGAGTTTTGGGGTAGCCAGCAGTAGCTGCCGGCAGAAACCAGTAGCAAAACACTTCGCACCTCTTCGGTGCCGCACACCCCACCCTTTCAATCCCACTCCGCCCGTCGGTCTCGTCGCCGAAACGGGTCGGTCGACACCGGTGACGGTTTGCCTTCCCCGCCGGCGGAGTGTCACTCGCACGCGCGGGTGTTCCGCGTTCCGCGAAAACCGGTTTCCACCCGCGGGAAACCGTTCCGCGAGGTGAAGCTCTTGAACGACGTGGGGACCTTGTTGGGAGATCTCTTTGAGAATTCGACGCCTCAGGTGCGACCACTGGAGGCGCCGGAGACGAACCGGAGAGACGAAGCGAACGCTTTTCAGCGGATGGAACCGTTCGCGGTGAGTCATGAGTCCGGTGGGAGACGAAAAGGTGGGGAGGGAGACGAAAAGGAAAAGAAACGGAGCCGTTTGGTTGTTTTTGTCATTGTTTGGTGGCTGGATGTTCATGTTATTTCATTTGCTATCATCTTTTTGAGCGCGTCGTTTTGGACGTTCACCCCAAATCCACGCCTCGCGGAAGTAAGTCAGCTGGCGTGTCCTCCTTGGTCCTTGGCGTGAACCTTACTCCCTCGCGATGCGTCTCGCCTCAAGGGGCTGATGGAAGTGAAGCAACAGCTGCAGGGCGACTTGTTGATCCGTTCGATGCAGAACAAGGACCGAGTGGTGACGCGAGGGGGACAGGGGGATAGGGGGCATCCGTGTCATCGACCTCAGGGTGAACGGAACGCTCGGCTTAAGGCATCGTGCAAGGCGAGGGTGACATGTCTGAGAGGTTACAAGATGAAGCCATGAGATCGTGTCGCCTTTTCTTTTTTGGTTGCCATGTTCTTTTCCATTTTTTGAGGATTTAGAGGATTTTCTTTGTGAGATGATGATTGATTTCCAAGAAAGCCAGGGGAAATGGACAGAACCCCATTGTGGAAAAATTGCACTGCCGATGTCAGGAGCAGGGCATCCCGATCTTCGTGTGCTGTGCAGACGAAGCTTGCAAGGCCTGGCGGACAGATCGGGAAGGGTGAACACGGTCAACGCCCAGAAAGCAACGGATACACATCTAGCATCATCTAGCATCATCGAGCTAGTGTCACTCAACGACCCGAGCATTTTCAGCCGAATCTCAGATTGTCAGGTTCAACTCCTCAACCCTCAGACCTGGAGGGTGCACACCTCCTCCGAAAAAAAGAGCCTCCCCCGTTGGTTTCTTCTTATTGGTTCAGCCTACACGATTAAAATACATCCATAGAAGATAAACATTATAGGCTGACAGAACCCCATGACCAACAAATGAATGATCTTTGTTTTTGCTTTCTATATCTTTGTAATTAATATGATGAATCATCCATGAGGGACCAACCAACATCTATTTATTCTTTTGTGTCTTAGTCCTTTAATTTAATGTTGGTTGGTCATGGTCTTATTAATTTTATAGGATTGGTGGCCGCCGTGTCTGACTGGGCCCCTTCTTGGATCTGGGGCCCCCTGCTTTTGGCCCTTCCCTTGTGCCTCTTTAGTTCCTGTCACGTAGAAAGACTCGCGATGACCGAGATGAAGGGTGTAAGATAGAATGACGATAACCCACAAGGCCATAAGCTGTGACAAGGGGTGCAATGATAAGAGCTTATGGCCTGGTATCTTCTTGTTGGTACGGTTGCTCTTGTTATCCTAGAATGACTCACGAACAGACGGTCCATCACCTGGACTCCTCAGGCCCCCTTCTTGGATCTGGGGCCTATGAACCTAAGGACTGTTAACGCCTGGTCTTTTACCCAATCCCCGCCTCGCCCGCCTCGCCTCGCCCGCCGCCGCGAGTGGGCTCCCGATGCCCAAACGCCGCGAGTGGGCTCCGCCAGGTGACCGAGCTGGTCTTGTCCATCTACACGCGTCGTGAGCGGGTTCCGGAGGCGGAGGAGCTTCTCCTCTGCTCCAGCCACACCACCTTGGAGGAGAAGCAGTGCAGTTGGTGTGCCGATGGGTGTGGTTGGTGTGTGTTGGGTGTGTTTTCAAAGGTGCGGAACTCACTGGACGGAGCGTTTGGTGCTTTTGTCTCGGATTTAAGCCTGGTTCGTCAGTTTTTTTTTTCCAAGCTCCGATGGGAAGTCCTTCGACCTTTCTTCTCGTTAGGAGATCGAGCTGCTTCTACGCCGCTTCTTCCATGCGAGGACGCGCGCTTTGCGATATCAGGAAACTTTCGCAAAATCACAGGCTCACCTTGACTAGTGGAGGACGGACTCCATTTGACTAGGCCATGAGCGCCCCTAGTAGCGTCCTTGCTCCTAGTAGCGATGCCAGGAGCCCCTAGTAGCATTCTTGTTCCTAGACTAGTTGACAACTCTTTGAGGTTTGGCATGATCATTTAGGCTATCAGAAGGTGGTCTGGCCGCCTCCTTAGGTTTCCACTTGAGGTTGGGAAGCCAGTGCCTGGTGTGTCAGCGCTGGTGCGCTGCCGTTGACGGCGGCCGATGGGGCCCTTTTGATTTGTTGTGTCCCCTGAACATTTGCTGTTCGAAGGAAGCATCAGCGAGAAGACCGGTGTAGAGCTCAGTTGAAGCACTAGATTTTTTTTTGAACATATACTGCAGTATCATATACATATTTTATACGTACTTTTTGGAGGCAATCGCTAAACAGGGGTTGGAGGCCAAGTGGAGGCGGATGTCAGACACCCTCCACTCCACCTTCACTTTATGAGATCAGATGGCACCCGTCGATGAGTCGATGAGTTTTTCACCAGTTGAAGCTACGACATCAATCTGGTGAGAGTCGCCCGCCGTGAGCCTGCATCACAAGGCTCTACTGTGTTGGCAACGTGCACTTGCAACTCAGCTCATAGGGTGAGACTGGTGTCTCCATCCAAAGCACAACTTGCATCACCTGTGAGTGTCATCCACCAGACAAAACACCTGGCCGTTTCAGCAGAGAGCGAGCGGATCGCCTGGCCAAACAAGCTATGTTTGAACGCAGGCTTTTTCGGTTTATGTTTTCAGGGAAAACTCCGGGAAACAGCACATCCTTCTCAGAGCTCTTTTTTGGGGCCGCGTCGTTTTACTTCGTGCGCTGGCTTAAGCATCCTCATCCCGATTGTGGCCCAGGCTGCCCTACGTGACCCAATGTGGCACTGTGGAGGCCCTGAGGACAGCGGGGGACGCACGCGCGCGAACCCGGCAGGGAACGCTCAGTGGAACGACCGGGGCTACACCAACTGCTTCTAAGCTGTACACCATGGCACCAGGACCAGCAACTACGACGAACGGAGCTGGATGAGTTCCAAATGAAAAACACCTCCTCCAGCACCACAGAGGTGCGGGGTGCTTCTCGTAGGGAAAATACATCGTCCAGTCAAGGGTGTCCTCTTGAAACCGACCTCCGTGAAACCTGGAGGTCCTTCTTGCCGCCTCGGCGGTTTAGGTTCCGCCTCCACCCCCACCCTTCGTCATCAGTGGCAGCTGGAGATCCTCAACTTGAGATGTCAAGAGACCGAACCCAAAAACGCTGGCTTCGTGGACATCGCCACGTCTACTCGCGGTCCCTAGTGACTGCAATGCCTCTGCTGCACGGCCTCCTCATGCCGGGCAATGCATCAGCGATCGCCACGTGGGCCGAGCGGCAGCGTGCGCAGGAAGATGGAGGAGCAATTCGGCTTCGAGCACGCCAGTGCCCTGGTCTTCGCGAGCGGCATGCCCAACCAGATGCTGACCAACGCGCTCAATAGGCCGCACCCGCGGATGCGACGAAACGACGCAACGCCGGCCGAACGAGCGCGACGCGGTGACTGTTAGATCCTTCGGGTGTGGCTTCAAACAGCAAGGAGGAGCTTTAACGAGGAGGAGCGCTAAGGAAAAGAAAAGGATCAAGCAACAGAAGCTCTTTGGATGAGGAGAAGATATCGCAAGAACAGGATCAACAGAAACTCTTTGGGTGAGTCATGAGTTGGTGAACATGGACGATTTCATCTCGATTTTTGGAGGACATTTCTTGGACAGATAAATGCGCATATGTTTTTTAACATTAGCAGACATGCAGGTGGCAATGTTGTAGCTGATCGCAGGCACAATCTGGCAGTGAGCATTCTGCAGCAAGACCTCCTCAAAAACGCTGTGGCCATGGTGGGTTTTAAACTCAGAGCTGAAGCATGCAGCCCGAGGTCTTTTTTTGCTGGATTGCTGGACAGGGGGATCAACTGAAGGAAGGGTTCAGAACTTTGTCACATGACTGCCATCCCGGGGACGTTGCGAGGTTTGTGGCAACACACAAGCACCATTTGTTCAGAATTGGTCCAAACACCTTGGCAGAAGCGGTTGCAGCGGTTTCGGACATCGCTTGGCCTGCGGCGGTTCTGGCCTTTTCCGTCTGGACCCTGGCGGCGGCGGGTGGACGCTGTCGGGGACAGCCGAGGTCAGAAGTATCATGGCCGACAGATGGAGGCGGACACCGTCAGATGCAGCGCGGGGAGCGCTGCTGCTGTGAGCTGAAAAACGGTGTGAGCTGTCACCCAATCGCCTGCTGAGAGCTGTTTGTAGGGGCCTGGAGGTGATTTTGGTAGGTTTGTAGCAGCAGCAGCAGCCGGAACGGAGCAGCTGCAGCACGCGCCCGGTCGTCGCGGCTCGAAGGCGGTGGCTGCGCAGATGAACGGTGTGGGGAAGACGCATTACATCAAGCGGGAGATCCATCGGCTCCAGGCGGAGTGATTCGACCGGTCGGCAGATGTCGCCTGCCAGTCTGGGACTGATCCTTTTCTCAAATCCGAAAGGCGACTGGTGACTAGTAACAAGAAGCCTACGAACGTAGCTCCTGGCGAACTCCCAAGAACACCCTGGAAGACGATCCCATGGACCCTGAGTACACCACTGGTTGGTAGAGGAAAACACTCGGACGGAGGGGGCCCGACGGGGACATTGGACCCGTTCGTTGGAGTTGCTTCGTTCGTCCCAACGAGCTCCTCCTGTTCTCTGCATCGAGTCCGAGGCAGATCACAATGGCAAGCCCTTGCTGCACCACGTGGAGATCCGGCGCGGCAGTTCCTTCCGATGGGTCGGTCGCTATTTTCGGGTTCCGACGGTCGCTTCTTGTTACTAGTAAGGCCAGTTGCGCCCCGAGCTCGTAGCGTCCATCGCTCCGTTCGTAGTATGGCCAGGAGCCCCATTCGTAGCGTTCTTGTTACTAGTTTGTTTTTTTGCTTCGCATAAATAACATCAGGTTCTTAACAGAAGTTGTTGGGGCAGCCTTTGAAGCGATTGGACTCCATTGGTGTGCAAACATATTAGAGCCATTGGGAATCTGAAGAACTGAACTATATAGGGTCCTCTATTTGGCTGTTGGATGATCCTGTCCTCTCTCCTGTCCTCTGTCCTCTGTTTCAGGGAGACCACGGACATCTCGGCCCTGGTGTCGCCAGCTCAGCCCGAACGGCACGAGACTCGAGTCTCAAAGCCCACCCAAGACGTCGTTTGACGGATGAAAGCCACCTCAGACCAAGGGAAGCCACCTCAGTCACTCACCACTCCTCAGTCACTCCATCCGTCCACCCAAACCGAACAGCGACCGAACTCCTCCAGCTCCCCCGCAAAACCGAACGCTTCTGGGCCTGGGAGCGAGATGCGATGCATGCGAGCGAGGTCCAATTTGCTGAGCGATCCGACAGATACCGCGTATCCCACGGCCGTGCACATCGACCTGGCACATATCCTGCCATCGCATGTGGACACCCTGCTGTTCGAACTGCTGCACCTCGCGCGCAAAGCGAAAGGGTAGGGTTTGGGCGTTCCAAACGGCCCTTTGGGGTGTCCGATGGTTTGCTTTGGTGTTTCGCATTTCTTTTAGTTCCTGGCGCAAAAGTGAACTGGAACAGTCTTTATTGTGTTTTGCTGAAGGTTTGGTGATGGACATGGTACGGTAGTGCTGGTGAAGACACCGTGTCTTCCGTGAGCTTCCGCGTCTTCCGTGGAAAACCGCCGAGGATCGTGGGAATGCTTCGTGATACGCACCTTTGCAAAGTCTACCACCGAAGGGCCAAGAAAGATTTCTTCTTCATCGAGATTCCCAACACTCCAGGTCACTTGAACCCTGCAGACTTGCCTGCTTTCTATGTTGGAAGAGCTAGACCTTTTGGAGGAAGCACACCGAAATGCAATCCTTCCGTTTGCCTCCGCTTTTGGCTTCTGGGAATTGGGATTGAAGATGATCGAAGATTTTGATGGCTTTTGCATGAAGTTGACAGCTCGTGGACATTGCTGCTTTTCGTTTTACCGGTATCACTTTTGCCAGGGGAGAGCACCGCCAAGCAGCTCTCCTTCTGCCTGATTTTGCCACGACAGTTCTTGTGCCATGGCATGTAACAGATTCCGCCACCAAGCCTGGTTCGCGAATCCTCTCCACCACCAAACCGAATCCCACTCCTTCTCACCGAATCCGAAGCTTTTTCTGTTCCAAAAGAACCCACAGAACAGCAGGAAGTTCAAGTTAACAGCAGGCCGTTCAAGGTTTCAATACTCCGAATCCCCAACCTTTGAGAATAAGAACCGAAAAAAAGACAACAACAAACTATAGTAGCTTCTTGTGACGTTCGTAGCTTCTGGCCTCCAACTGACTTGCTTCTGGCCACCGAACCGGACTGGGCGTCTTCTATCTTCAGTATCGCCCAACGTCGTCCGATGACCGGCCAGGACCATGAGCGCCGACCGGCTGGACGAAGAGATGCCCGTGATCAAGGAGGTCGGTCGAACGGGGGTCGGACGACGGGTCCACGCGCTGCCGGCGCTTTGATCCGGGAGGGATGGGACGGAGGCAGATGGGAGATCCGGCACGGGGTGGGGAGGTCGAACGGAACGGGAGGGGTGGGAGATGGCAGATGGGAGATGGAATTGCCCAGAGGGGGATTTGGTTTGCACTGGGATTTTGATGGGGGGGGGTTTTCGGCGTTCAGGGTGTAAGTGTAAGTGACCCAAAAGGCTGGAGACTTTCAGCGAAAGAATGATCATAGATTTGTGAAACTGCTGGAAAGATTTTCCGAGGTGCAGTTTTGGGTAACCATGTGTTTCTTCGTTTTCCTCGCTTTTCGGGCGACCTGTCATGCGACCTGTCAGCCTGTCAGGTGGATGGTGCGCCATTGATTTCCTTCGTGAAGAACGATCTCTTGGAACTGGTTGGAAAGACCTTGGAAGCCATGAGGAAGGAAGCCTTCAACCCAAAGTCCAGGCACTGCACCGCAGCGGTTTGACGGGCTTTTAGGGGCTTTGAGGCTGGTGGGGTTGTGTGTGTTTCCTCCTCCGGTGCATGTTTGCTACGATCTGCGTGGCCGTCCGAACTCGTGGCTCCGCAGCCCGCAACCAGTCCTTCGGTGGGACGCCGCTTCTTCAGGACACGACGAGCATGTTCTGCGAGGAACCCTCGACGCTGCACCATCGGACGGGTGCACCATCGACTATCGACACACGACCAAAAGGACCTCAACGACCTCACCCCCCCCGACCTCGTTCCACCTACTCGTCACACGCGCGGAGACTGCCCCATGCGACGAGGCACTTCGATGTGCAGTGGACCGGGGCCAAGGCAAAGCCCATTGATCTCATCCGAACCTACGAGCTCTTGGAAGAGGCGAACCGGGCGAGTGTGGGCGCACGAGCACCTGGCGCGAGGCGAAGCAGCGAACCGCGCGGTAGCACCGGGCGGCTTCCAAGCCCAGCCAAAAATCGAAAGGTTGACGATTTGTTGACGTATAACATGTATAACTGGTTATACATGTAGCAGTCTCACAACTTCTAAAAAAACACATGAAACAACCCGAAAGAAAAAAGAAAACCTACCACATGGTGTTTGGATCCTCGGTTCAAAGCCACCGCGTGTCCTTTTTGGTTCACCGAGACGTCGCCAGGTGTGTAGCTCCGAGACCTCGCCGCCCTCGTTCCTAGCGCCTCGGACGGAAAGAGCCGCGTGACACGACCGTTCGGCACCGACCGGACACGAAGAAGGAAGGTCGTTAAAAGATGGGTCCTTTCACAGGACAAGAGTCGCGTGACACTGACAGGATTGGGATGTCCTTGAAAAAGGACGAAATCAAGGACTCAAAAGGACCGAAGACAGGCGATTTCACGGAAGAACTTCTGGAACGGACCTGGGTCCCCCAAACCTGTGGAACAGTGTGCGTTCGTTTGGCGCAGCACGCGGCGGTGGGGGTTTCACCGCGAATTGGCCGGCACGTGGGGGCTGAAAGTCTTCAGGTCTTCATGAACTTGGTGAAGTTCTTGGGCCATCTCATCAAGAGTGCCGAGGACACGTGTTTCGTCGTTGCGGTGCGAGCGAGCACCATTTCCCAGCCCGAAACCGCGCTGGTTGCGGCCGCCTAATTTGCATTTTGGTCGGTGGTGCGGAGTGGGTTTGAGGGTGTTGGACTTCAGATTCAATGATCTCAAGACATTCTCAGATTGCCTGCCCATGTCGACCCTTCTTGAGGAGTGGAATATGATGAACCTGGCACTGCTGCAAAACTTTGATCCAGGTGCCCCAACTTTGACTTACAACCGGTCTCCCGGTCGTGTGGAGTGAGATGAAAGAGTTCCGCGCAGGAAAAAACACGACACTCTACATGCGGATCGGTTCAGATTCATATGAATCGACTGCTCAGCAGTTGGGACTCGGACTCTGGGACCCCAGAAACTTGCCCGGGCAGGCCTGACTAAAGCTGCATGACTCATAAGATCTCATAAGTCAGAGGCAGCACATCGAAAGTGACCTCACACCACATCCACCCAGGATTTTGAGAACCACATGAACCCTCCTGCTCCTGTGCATTGCTCCCTTTCCCGCCCCTGTGCAATGCGCCTTTGTGCGTCACTGCCTGCGGCTGATTACGTCCTGCCTGCGGCGGTGTGAGGTCTGAAGCATTTCAAGCACTGCTTCTTCCGCTTGCTCATCGAAACTTCCCGAGACTTTGCCCTGCGACAAGTCCCCAAGGCGGGGCGGGGCTGGAACGCGGGGCTGCCTCACGACGGGTTCCGTTCACCGAGCACCACGGAAGATCCACCAGGTGGTTGGTTTCGGGCTGGGAAAGCGCGCAGGAAACGCCTGATGCGCTGACTGCAGTCTTCTTTAAAGGAAATCCTTTTTGGAACCTTTAAACCCTCTCCTTGGCCCTCGAGCTGGTCTTCAAAAAGCCCAAGCCAAAACCTCCCAAAACTCCTCCCCCCCCCGCCATTGGATCGCTTCCGCCGCCCTTTCCCGCTCCCCTTCCGCCCTTCCTCCGGTGCGACCGGGTACGGAGCGACAGACCCCCCCATCACGGCCCTCCGCACGAGCGAACCACGTGGCCGCCGCGGAGGCCATGGACATGACGACGCCCTCGATCCTGGCGCCGCCGCCCATGGCGCCGGGCCTGGGGCGCGGCACCAGCCGAGGCGGGAGCGGCGGTCGGAGCGGGCGAGAGCCGGCTCTTCGGGGTGGTTTTTATCGGTGGTTCCACTGGGGTGGAACAGGATGGAACAGGCGACCGGTGGTGGGTGGTGGAAGTGTTTTGCTAGGCATCGACTGGGAGGGGGTGAGAAACCGCGTGGCATGGAAGGGCATGGAAGGGGAGCGAAGGTGTCTTTTTGGGGACGAAAGTCACGGCTATTTTATGGACCTGAAGTATATGAAGATCCATTTCCGGGAATTTCGGCTCAACATTGCCGAAGTGTTGTGATTGAATCGCTCAAGTACGAGTCTATATATGATCCCTAATCTTCAAAGGCTAAGTTTAACTTCGACGTGGTTTCTGTCTATGTTTAACCAGGTTAAACTTCGTCGTTCTGCGGAGTCTGTTCTGTTTAAGACAACTAACATGAGTAAAACTTAGACGCACTGAGGTGTACAAGTTTAACTTCGACGTTTCTCATTGGCTAAGTTAAACTTCGACGTTGGAAGTTCTGGGTGATAGTTTGTTGCTTAAGAACAGCGACTGAACGTCAACACATTTGAAGTCTTGAGGTTTTGACCATTGGTCGAAGTCATTGATGTGACAGGATCAAACCCCAAACCTACGCGTTTTTTCATGGAGCATTATTTAACGCTTTATTGAGGATTCAAGCCACAGCCATGATAAGCCATGATCAGATGTAATCTATGCAATGAGAGATCATGCTCATGCAAGTCTATTCTCATTGTCAAGTCTTGACAATGACATCTTCACAAAGCCAGGTCATGTCATTGCTATCACATTTCTTGACATGACCTGGCTTTCAATCGGCTCCGATACGTGTTTTCTTTTTCGGCGTCCCAAGGACCAAGACATCGACCCACACACCAGAAAAAAGGACCAGCTTCCTTTGGGCCCTCACCCACCCACCACCGGCCTCCGGTGTCGCGGGTCGCGCGCGTCGCGTCCGGTCCAGGCTCCGATCCGACGATGCCTCCGGAGCTCCTGCGGAACCTGAGCGGCATGAGCGGCGGGGCGCCCTCCTTGACCCGCCGGGGAGCCAAGCGAGCGCGACGCGAGCGGAGAGAGCGAAGAGAGCGAAGAGTGGGGGAGGCGCGACGCGGCGAAGCCGCTGGTGATGTGAAGAGGGATGAGGTGGGCAGGTGGATGGATGAGGGAAAAGCTTGACAGATGCAGCACTGCACCATCATGGGCTATGAATTCTCCCAAAAGCCAACTGGATTTTGCGCCAATTTGCGTGGTGAAACTGAAATTGAGACAGAAACATCAGCATGGGATTCTGCGCAGCCCAAACTGTTCACATTTATGTTGGATCCCGAAAGCAACCTTGAGTTATTATTCGGGGCTCCTGGCATCGCTACTAGGACCAAGGACGCTACTAGGGGCTCCTGGCCTTACTACTAGGAACAAGGACGCTACTAGGGGCTCCTGGCCTTACTACTAGGAACAAGGACGCTATTATATCAGTGGCTTTTTGGTAAACCCAATTGACTCAGGGGCGGCGGCGCCACTCCCACAAGCCTGAACTATCGCGCGTGAGGCAAGACCAGTGGCCAGAACAAGCATCCTGGCCTGGTCCGGGCCAGCAGCCGGGCGCAGCAGGAACTTGCTGCACAGAATGAGGCACGTTGGCTTCTCTCCAGATGTCCAGAGCCGTTTTGGTGGTGGCGTCGTGGGCCAAAGGCTTTGTTAATTGAAAAGTATCGATATAACATGGTTCAACATGTTATTAAGCAATCTAGATGATTTGGCATGGTTCTAGTATGTTTTCAGTACCGCTTTCCACTTGTCAGTGATGAGCAATTCCCCGTGAGACGACGTGCGAGTCGACACTTCCCCTCTGCGAGCCTTTCGCCTCTTTTTCAGGCCGATGCTAAAATGGAGAAGGAAGGCGTTGGCAGGACTGGGACTTGATCCGAAGCCCGTCTCACCAGATGAAGCCCATCTCATGTGGTGATCAAAGTTCAACAGAAGCCCCCCTACCCTGCTCCTCCTCCTCCTCCAACTTCTCCGGCTGTCCAACCGAGAAAAACGAGAACATCTTCGGCCCTTTCCACCCTTCGGCCCCTTCGGCCAGGATCGATGCCTCGGCGTACGTGGCACGCTTCGATCAGATGCCCAGCTGGGAGAGCTGTATCCATCCCGTGGCCAACTTCAAGAAGAACGACCGAGGACTTGGCGAGATCCGGTTTCGCTCGCGGTTTTCGCTCGCGGAGGAGATCCGGTGGATCGCGATTGAGCGATCCGGTGGTGGGGTGAATTGTTTGGGGGGGACGCGAAGGTGGTGAGCTAGGAGGTGGTTTTGGCGCGTGTTGATGTTTGTTGTTCTGGGAGCGAAATCTGCTTTCGTTTTGGATGCCTGAGTGGCTTGGCCGTTGGGGTTCTGGATATGTGGCCTTTTGATGCCTTTTGTCTTCCCGGTGATAGGGATGTTTTGCGTCCTGTTTTATTGCTGTATTTATTTTTAACACTCCGGTGCTTTTTTGAGATGTGGCCGTGGCCTTTTTTCAAAGGAAATGAAGTGAAGACATGAAAGGACTAAGGACGCGGCACATCAGGGTTTGTTCTTTGACTGTGTTGCTTTGTTCTGATTAAAACTAGAAGATCTTGGAGGCACAAGAGGAAGGTGTCCACCATGAATGTAATGAAGGAGTGATCGTAACATCTTGAAGAAGTCACCGGCGGCACTACGGTCTGCTTTTTCACGGCCGTCGGGAGTCTACTGGTCACCGGAAAACACGACGCGTAGAACATGTGGATGTGGATGTCCGTGCTGGGTGGAATGAGGAGCCATCATCGGATGCAACATCATGAGCTTGCAGCGAGACTTCATCGGAAACTTCATCGACAGGACGAAGCGACGTCACCGCACAAAGGATAGGGAGAATCATGCGCGCCATGTGGGGGGAAGTGAGGCACGTGTGGAACTGGGATGCCATTGCGCTTGGCCTTGCGCATGCCATACGCGCAGGAACCTGCAGAATTCGCTGAACTTGAACGATTTGAAGTTGGACAGGCCTGGGCAAAAACTCGGAATCGTGTGTGCCACACGTGTGTGCCACACCGTCTGTGCCGTGCAGCATTCGAACTTCTGGCAGAAACTGTTGTCAAGCTGTGTCAGAAAACATGTCGTCAACTCTGCAGACATATGATTTCTTCACAGATCGCTGGTCTCCGAACCATTCCGAACCATCTCCGAACCTCCTGCTTCACATCTCGTCTTCCGGACCTTTCCGCCCTATATGTGTTTGGGGCTCAAGCTGCCCGCCTGCATGAATTTGAGCGATCTTGGCATGCGCACAGTCCGTCCGAAGACGACGAAGATCAGTGATGCGCCATGGTGGCTGCCTCCTCCCCGCGCCCGTCCGAAATCTCCGCGCACAGCCACTGTGGCTCAGTCTTTCGGAGTGCAGTGGCCGAAACGCAAGGAGGAGCCCGGTGGGGAGGTGAAGACCGGAGGTGACAGGTCCTTAAAGAGGTCGAAGGAAACGACGGGTTGGGTTTTCAGGTGCAAGAGAAAGGGGTTCAAAGGTCACCAGAGGTCACCAGATGTCGCAAGGACCACACATTTCAACATCAATGACCACACGGAAAAGAGTGAAGACGTGCGAAAAAAAACAAAGAGTGCCGTGAAGAAAAACACCAACACGACCTGTGATGAACAAAAACAAAGCCGCCAAAAGAGCCGCCAGGACGTCCCAGCTATGAAGATGCCTATGCGATCACCTCGGAAGATCGTACCGTGTACTTTTGGGTCTTTGATGGACATCGGGGTGGCTGTGCCAGTCGCTTCGCCGCCGATCTCTTCAGTTCGCCGGAGTTCTCGCCCCCCAGTGGACCAACGGCGCCCAAGCTCCCGTCCAACCGGCGCATTCGCAAGGCCTTCCAAACCGTGGACCAGCGGCTGCGGGAGCACTGCCGGTCTCGCGCCAAGTCGGACCGTGCCGGCAGCACGGCGGTGGGGGCGCTCGTGGTGCACGAGGACGACGGCAGCTTCTCGGCGAAGCTGGTGAATTGCGGTGACTCGCGGTGCGTGGTGATCCACGCGCCGGAGGAGATGCGTGAGGGACGTGGAGGGAAGAAGATCGAGGTGAAGTTGCCGGAGTCTTTGAAGTCCTTTCGTGAAGCCAGTGGTGAAGACTGGTCCAAGGATGCATCATGGCTTCCTGAATGGCCGGCAGTAGTGGAGACTATCGATCACAAGCCAAGCATGTGGTTTGAGCGAGCACGGATTGAAGCGGCTGGAGGGACAGTAGTGTGTGGGCGGACAGCACGGCTGGATGGCAACCTCGCTGTCAGTCGTAGTCTTGGTGACTTTGATTTCAAGAAGGAGAAGCGGCCGGCGGCGGAGCAGAAGGTCTCCTGCCTGCCGGACATCTATGAGGTGACAGGTTTGCAAGAAGGAAGTCTCCTGTTGCTTGCATGCGATGGTCTGTGGGACACCATGTCGACAGAGGAGGCGGCACAATTCGTACATGAGCGGCTCCAAAGTAATCCATCCATGGAGCTTGCTGACATTGCACAAGAGCTCATTGACTGCAGCCTGGTAGAAACACGGGACAATGTAACCGTGTTGCTGGCACAGCTGGGTCAACCTGACCTGAGTGAGGCCGAAGCGGAGTAGACCTACAGTCCTCTACAGCTGTCTCTTCACTTCGGCCTTACCCGGAAACTCAAGCAGGAGAAAGAAAATGGAAAAAAGGATGGGACCACTTCTGCAGAGAGCCGAATAGTTTTCAAAGTCATGCACTGTAGGAGTCACGTTTCCATGTGGTCCATGTTTGGAGCTTATCACCTCTCCACGTGGTCCATTTTTGGAGCTTAACAAAAAGAACCTGCATGTGTCTGACCTGTTTATATTGGACCTAGGAGTGTATGAACAGTGTTGCATATGCGTTTCCACATACCGATGATGTCACGAGTGGCACCAGACTGTGCCAGGGACTGGTCCAAAGTGACTCACCAAGATGCTGTGCAGCTGGTGCATCAGATTGAAGGTGGAGCACTCTTGCAGAAGAAGGACCAGAAAACAAAGCATTTGAACCATCAACAAGGGTGACATGAAAAAGATTATATGTATATATATAATATATTATATAATATAACATGTGTTTTTTGTATTTTTTTTTCCGAAGGAATCCGTTTCTTCATCGTTTTCAGCATTTTTTGCGAGTGTTGGCCTGCGTGGACTGCTGAAAGACACACAAAGTGGTCTTGAAACAGAGGGCAGTTCAAGGCATTGAGACAAGGTCTTCTTAGTCTTTCTGCCTTGGCCAGGACTACTTGCAAGGTCCCAAAGAACCTTGGGTCTGCACTGAGAACTTGCAACCAACATCAGGGACATGTCGACAGTTTTGATGACAGACTGAGAACTTGCACTGATTTGAGATGCCAAGTTGACTGACTTGAGTAGTAGCTTCCTTGCTCCTAGTAGTAAGGCCAGAACCCCTAGTGCACTGACTTGCACTGACAGACTGAGAACAGACTGAGAACTTGCACTGATGTCCCTAAGAGATTCTCAAGACGACCCGCGCTAATGTCCCGTCAAAACCTCCCTCCAACGGCGATGCGTTCGTGGTAACCTCTCGCGCAGAAAGCGATGCTGGGGGACGAGTTGAGGATCATGGTCGAGACCTGAAGGTTTCGACGGTCAACTTGACCTTTTTCCATCTGCTGAATTCACATACAGAACAACACCTGAATTTTTGCCTACACACCGCACCAGACGGAATCTGTCCAAGGAATATGTGGTCACCGTGTCTTGGATGAAACCAGTTGGGTTGTTCTTACCCAAAGCAGTTGTGAAATCTGTTTGGACATGAAGGCTCCGTGCATGGGACGCCTCTATTAGAAAGATGGCTTAGGATGGCTTTTGTCAGGTCGACCAACAGCGTTTTACATGGCGTTTTTGCAGGTCGACAACCTCATCAAACTGATGAGCATTCAACAGCGCTTGAAGTATGGCCTGCCAGTGATCCTCATGGGTGAGACGGGCTGTGGTAAGACAGCCTTGGCCACTTGTACGGCTTAGAGGGTAGCAGCTTCATCGCAGACTTCCGCAAACCTATTTATTTCGCTAAAAATCGCTTTCAGAAATGAACACAAAATACTACTAAAGCTAAAGACCGTTTCGATGTTCACGAAAAATTGTTTGCGCATGCGCATGAATCCACCCGTGCCACAGACGGGTGGCTTTCTCTTCTTTGCTTCCTTTGGTCTTTGGTCCATCGAAAGGTGAAGTTCCTGGCGGAGACCTTGGATTTCAAGCTGTGCACGTTGGACATCCACGGTGGCATTACGGACGTCGCTTAGAGCTCGAGCGTGGAAGGGACCAAGGGGGGGAACGGAGGGCCATGCGCGGTGCTGGATGCGTTGCGTCACCGATCAGTGGCGAGAACTCAACATTTGGCCCCTAAAAGGTCTCTTCTTTGTTTCAGTAACTTGTCTCCTAAAACTCAACTCATGCTTCGTGTGCTCAGGAAAACGCACGGATGCTCATACACACCAGGCATTATGGTGAAGGGTGCAACATTGGCGGCTTTCGTCACACCTCCGCCGCTTCCGTTCGACGTGGTCCGCAGGCCCCCAACGCTTCGGACGTCTTCTCCCCAAGCACTCGTCTTCGCCGGCGCGTGGCGTCCGATCGCACTCGGTCCATCAGGCCAGTATCATTGCCTTCTTGGAAGACGCCATCCAACAAGCGGACCACGAACGTGGAGCCGGGGCCACCGAGAAACGTCCAACGCGAGAGAGGAAGCGAGTGAGGGAGGTCCGGTTCGCTTGATCGGATTTGTCGCATTGTCTTTAGGATGGGATGCACAGGGCTTCAAGGACCTCGTCCGCCCTTCTGGTAGCGCAGATTTTGGGCGTATTTCCCCCAACAGTGTACTGTTGGGGTTCTATCTATTGGTCCAAACGAATCGTTTTGAAACTGTTTGGGGGTCTATTCTTTCTCGCCGTTTCACAGGAATTTCGGCCTGTTTTGCACAGGGTGTGAACACGTGCGGAGGGCCCCACATATTGGCAGCCCCACATATTGCCGCGTTTCCGCTCGCGCGCTTCGTGGGTGAGGTCTTGGTCTTCTTCGATGAGATCAACGCGGCGAACTGCATGGCACTCTTTAAGACGATCATCATCGACCGGATGTACGGCAACAAATATATCCCTGAGAACGCCCCGTGATTGAGGAGGAGGATGGTTTGGCGGGTTTGGCGGGTTTGCGTGCGTTGGTTTCTTCGCGTTCTCTCTTTTTTTTTCTATATTCCGTGTTCGCGTCTTTTCGTGTGGCCATAGCTGCGTGTCGTGGGTTGGAGGCCTTGGCGGCTGCTAACTGGTTCCCTTCTCCGACCTGACGCGATCCGAATTCGCACGCGACACGACCCGTGCTGAGGTTCGCATCATCTCATGCTGCAACCCCTACCGCAAGCGTCGTAACAAGGAGCGGAGGGTGGACAATTCGATGGGAACGCAGGAGGAACGCAGGAGGAACGCAGGTGTCTGGTGTTTTGCTGGGCATGAACAGATGTGAAGCATGTGAACAGGTGCTGCAAGGATCTGCAAGAGAGCTGTCACCAGCAAAGGTTTGCTGAGGGAAAGGCATTCATGAGGGACTTGATTCTATCATGAATGATCTCAAGAACACCCCGTTCTAATTTCGGAGGAGTTGGAAGACGTGGCCCTGGTCTACAATGCCGCAGCAGGCCAGGTGCAGAGACGGTTTTAGAGAGATAGAGAGGGACGTCTTAAGCCGCTACTAGTAACAAGGCCCCTTACTATAGTAACAAGAAGCTACTAGTAACAAAGGCACCTGCTGAAGAAACACGGCGACTCCAAAAGCAGTCGGATAAGAGCTGGACTAGATTAGAGTAGAGCAGTCGGATGTGGCCTCTCCTCGGCTGGCTTTGGACTTGAGAGCTGCGGAGGTCGGAAAGCACAGAAGTTTGAGCAGTCACCATATATATATATATATAATATATAATATATAATATATATATATACATATTGCTTGGAAACTGCATCAAAATGCACAGCTTCTAGAAAAGCTTTATTGTTACTCGCTGCGATGGCCTCCAAGCTACTAGCGATGGCCTCCGACCTAATAGCATCGAACGTTGCTTCGTTACGGAGAAGTGACACCAGGTGATGCTGCCACCGGCATCTCAGATCCCATGAAGGCCAGACCAGTGATTTCCTTGTCGGCTTCGTCAAGAGCTTCGTTCGCAGCATCGAGCATCACAGCAGCCACCGGCGTAGCTTGGTAGCTCGTGGGGGTTTTGAGGCGCATACCATCTCGCCAGCCTTTTACAATTGAACTCTACCAGCCCTCGACTTTACAGGTCACCGCCTGCCCATAGGAGGGTCGTAACTGGTGCTAGATCCCTTTCCTGTTGATGTCCGCAATCCTCCACCCCCAGAACCAAACCAACCGTGCCTGGGCTACATTTCACATCATCTTCCCTTGCCCTCCAAGTAAGCTCCACCCCCAAACCCGCCAAGCTCTACAAGCATCGAGCTCCAAACCCCGCACCTCTGCGTTCTTCCTTTTGTTTCTCCGACTCCGCTCGCTTCACCGGACGGACTCGGCACGCGCCGCGCCGCGGCACGCCGCCAGGAGTTGGTCTACCGGGTCCATCCGCTCCCCGAGAGTCTCATCGACGTGGTCTCGGACTTTGGCTCCCTCTCCGAAGCCTCCGAGGTGCGACGCGGTCCGCGTTCCGCGGTCGTCGACGCGGGCGGGGCGCGTGATCAGGTCACGACGGGACGCGCCGCGTTCCAATCATTAGGGTTACTGTGGGCGGAGCGAAAGAGGAAGAATTGGACGCAGATGGACGCAGATGGACTCCAGGGTTTGCGCTGCTTCTTCCGGGCTTGGCGCTTTTCCGCACGATTCATTTGGGAACCGCAGATTTGGACCGTTTCACTGTGAACGTCGCTCTCGCGCCGGGGAAGCGAGAGCGACCTGAACTTGATGAAAGTGGTCAGATGGTGAATCTTCACGACGCGTGTTTGATAGTCGACCAACCGACTGATGAAGCAAGTGATGCACTGATTTCGCATCTCAACATCAGGGCGCTCAATCACTGGAACCTGTGGCCCAACACTTTGTCTCCAGGAGATCTACATCAAGGCCATCTTGAAGAAGGACCAACACCGGTCCACCGCTCAACCCGCCTCTTTGTTCCGGACGCGGGACGGTCCGACCGGTCGACGGGTCGCCCGCGCAAGGAGCTCCCGCGCAAGGATGGGGCACCCGCCGAGCAGGCGCCGCAGGCGGAACCGGCGGAACGATCTCCGACGGGTCGCGTCGCCGGCGTCGCCCGGATGGTTTTGGGGGTGCGCGGACGCACGGCGCGTAGAGGCTGCGCCAGCGGAGTCTTCGGATGAATACGAGGCACGGCGTCACGGCAGGGGGGAAGGAAGGATGGGGACATGTTCAGGACACTGATCCTTCTCCCCCTAGTCAATTTCTGCGAGTGAATAGATGCTGGTGAGCAGGCCCTCCTCACTTCGAGCAGGTGCCAGGCATCCTCTTAACACTGGCACACTTGTGATGCCAACATGCATTCTGTGTCACTTTCTGGACATCATTAGACCATGCGGACCCACCGGAAAGAAGCAATTGACCATTTTCTGGACAAGAAAGAGCATGACTATTTTGAATTTGACTTTTTTGACTATTTCTACATGGTCAACTGGACTGTTCTCTGGACTTCTGTGCCGGAAACATCTATAGCCAACTGCAAAGAACCATCGACGCTCTGCCCGGTTCCGGCGCGGCTTCCGCTGCGCAGCGAGGTGTTCATCAACGCCTTCTGCGAGCTGCTCTGCCAGTCCCAGAACTATGTGCGTGAGGCGGAAAGTATGGGGACGGAGATGGAAGCAAGCACAGCTTGACTGAGGTCCGAAGTGCCGAGCTTTCTTTCGATGAATGAACCCCTACAAGTCCCCCTCTTAGGTCAGAAAACGCCCAGGTCGTTTTGCACGTGTTTTGAATGGTGTGTTTTTTTGTATTTTCCCAACTCCAGTATTTCATGAGCGAGCTGGTAGAGGCATTTCTTGAGGTCGGGGCCGAACGTGGAACCAAAAGGATCGGTCCATTGTTCGGTCCATCGCCCCGGTCTCCGCAGGTGAACGAAGGCGAGCGCAGCGTGGTCTCCATGCGCGACATCGGCCGGGCGGCGCGTGTCTTCAAGTGGTCGGGCCAGCTCAGGACAGGAGAGACCTGCGGAGCTCTTCTCTCGGGGGGGTCGAGGGTGACTCCCGGGTGAGTTCTCCGGTGACCGAAGGCAGACGAAGAAACGACCGATAAGAAGAATTCAGAGAACGGTATATAATTTGGATGTATTTGGTGTAGCTGATGAGCTGACGGTCCGAAGAAAGAGATTTGGTTTGAGACCTGTTTCATTCCTTTTTTTTGAAAGGGAAAACGCACTCTTGTTGGACCTCGCAATCCGAAACCTCACTGAACCTCGCACAAACCTCCGAGGTTCTTGACCTCCTACAGTCGACTGCACGGTGAGAGTGCTTCTGCAGCGGTGCGCGACGACAAGGACGCCACGACCACCCGCCCGCCGGAGCGAGCGCCCGACCGGCGCGGTCGGTCGGCAGGACGGCACGTTGAAGATCGACGTCTGCATCAAGCTGCGGGAGCATCTCAGGTGGAGACGTTTGGGACCTGGTCAGAGGAAGAGGAGGTCAGTGTTTGGTTAGTTTAATGGAGAACGGTCAGTGGAAGAGGATGTATGATTCAGTATGATGTATGACTTGTCCCCAAAAGTCCATCTAGTCGGTTGGGTTCGGATCATTGTTTTGGATCGATTTCAGAGAGGTGTTGGATAGCTATCGGATAGCTTAGGAGGCTGGTTTCTCTCTTCACCAAACACCGTGGTGGACTTGGCGGCCAGGAGAGCTTTGGTCCTGACCATGGGCTATTGCCGCTGAGATGCAGGAAGTGATTGAACGATTGAAAGATGTGAAGAAGGCGCTGGCCAGAGGCGCACAGAGGCGCAGAGGCGCTGTACGGCAAGACACTGGCAAGGGAGAACGGCCTCACTGGCTGGAAGACATATTGGACCGGACGCTTTCCTCCTCCTCGAGAGAGAGAGGGAGCCAAATAGAGATGGCCTCCAACCTAATTACTAGCGATGGCCTCCAACCTAATAGAGATGGCATGGGTGTTTGAAGAATCAGGGAACAATGTTGACTGCGAGGCTATCACTCCAGACTGAACCGCAACCAGCGCTGGGGCTACCGCAAGAGGTCAGGGACCAAGATGGTGTTGAGACCGTGCACCCTTGGTGGGACACGTCACCAGCATTCTTGCTGGATTCCGAAGAGAAACTGAAGAGCATCAACTTTGGGTCCCAAATGCCAGGATCACTGGCCAGTTGGTGCTGACTTCTTCAGAGCAGAGAACTTTTTCTGGTGCAATTTCTGGTGGTGTTTCTCGTGGTGACTGTTAGTGACAGTGGGATAGACCGTTATATCTTTCAAAGAATAAGAGCTTGTCATTCTTTATTGAAGGCATTGTCGCGTTGTTCCGAGGCTGTGTGAGACCTGGGAACGTTTGAGGCGGGTGTTGGGAGATCGGCCAAGAGTGAATGGGAGATTGGGCGCGCGCGGCGCGACCTCATCCTAAGGTTTCGTAGTTGTTCCAACCAAATTCAAGTTCAAGGAATTTCAAATTATCAAGTTGGATCCCGATTGGAATTTCCCCGTTGGATACCTATAAAAATGGCCCAACCCCTCCTTGAAATCCGTACATTGGGATCAAGTTGGAGAAAAGAGAGTACAGCAGAGACATCAGCGACCTCAGCGAATGGCCACCAACAGGACAGAAGTGACCCATCCACCGATGCCCCGAGTGACTCGGCCTCGGCCTCGGCCTCGGCGCCTCCATCCACCGATCACCTGGCGGGACTCGGGGGACTGCATCGCCAGGAGCAAGGACGATGATGCGATGGTGTGGCTGCAATTGGCGGATGCCAATGAGCTCAACAAGATGCTCATCGACACCTCCTACGAATTCGTGTGGCCTGGCCGCGGCGTTTTGAAGCGGTGGATCCGGCGGCGCGCGGCGGATCCAGCGCAGCGCGGCGGCGGTGTTGGTTGTTTTGGTTCGGTTGGGCACCTGACGATTGATAGGATTTTCACCGCGGAAGGCCACCAACACCGCGGTGCTTCAAGCCGGAGTGCGGAAACGAGCTGCTCACTCGATGCTCACCCCGGCGCCCCAAAAAACGGGTTGTCGTGATTTCAAAGGGTTTCCTCCGATGCCACCACATCGTGGATGAGGTCGCAGATGGACCTGGGCGAAGGCATTGCCTTGAATGAAGCTTTGCGCGAGAACCTCTTCATGTTACTGGTGAGTGCTCGGGGCCTTAGTTGGGGATTTTGACATCACAACAATCACAGAACTGGTTTGAGGCTAGGTTGGAGGCTGTTGCTAGTAGGTTGGAGGCCATCGTTATTAGGGAGGAGCATTGCTAGTAGGTTGGAGGCCATTGCCATTAGCTTCCTTTCGTTATTAGGTTAAGTTTTAGGCTTGGGGTTGGCTGAGAAAGTTTCATGATGTACTGACGGCTCTTGGACTTCTCAATTGACTTGATGAAGAGAGGAGTGGGGGTGAACGCTGCGTTTTCTTGGTCTTTCTTCGACGCAGGAGGAGTTGAGTTTCAGGCTGGCCAGGACTGGAGCGCGAGTTGCGCGAGTTGCTGAGTGTGTCTGCCCAGGTCATGAACCAGATCCCCATCTTGCTGATTGGAAAGCCCGGATGCTCCAAAAGTCTGGCGATGGGCGTCTTGCAGAACAATCTCAACGGAGAGGCCGGCTGAAAACGGCTTCGGCATCGTGGTTTCCGTTGGTTGGTGTGCTGTAAACAGCCAAACCAAGCAGCCTCACAGTTGCTACAGCGTTCCACAGTTGCTACAGCGTTCCACCCACTTGTGAAGTGCCTGGAGGCAGCCTTAGGATACCTAAGGGATGATTTGGGTGGTGATGCATGCACGGATGATGTCTCTTGTCACAGTACTTGCTGCTTCGACTGAACCAACACAGGATGTGCAACATGACCCAAGCATTCCATGGAGCTGACACAACTCTTCCCAGCAGTCCCCAACTCCCAAGTCCAGATGTTGCCGAACCAACATCCAAGACGAGATTCGAAGCAAACACCTCGAATCGGTCCCCCCTGGAAGGCGCCTGCCCCTCCGGCACTCCGGCGTCTCCGTGTCCCTGCAGCTCGGTCAGGTGTCCAGCCGAGACTTCTTCAAATCGATGCCCGCCGTGGACGTCTTCGCCTACCAGTGCTCCAGGGAAGGGAGGGATATCCCGGGCCTCGGGTGGGCATCGGGTGGGGCATCGGGTGGTTGGCGGGTCACCCGGGAGACCGGATGGGAGACCGAGCTCATGGTGAACAAAACCTGCTCACCAGACCGAAAACCCAAAGCGGATCCTTTTTTCGGATCCCCAAGTACGAGTAGACGGTGAGTGCTATCGACTCTCGCCATCGCAGTGCGGCAAAGCGTTGGAATTACAGGTCAATGAGCTCATGAAATACTGGAGTTGGTCATACAAAAACACGATTCAAGCAAGCCAACGACCTGCTGACAAACTGGCTCACACTGGACGAATCAACGCGCGTTTACGCCAGCAAAACACCTGACCCAAGACGACGGTGTTTTCTGACCCACGACGGCCGAACGAAGAACGACCGAAGAACATCGAAGAACGGCTTTTTCCGTTCGACGTGGTTGGTACGACCGGTCCGGTTTTGGTTGGGGACGGTTCGACCGGGGATGGGGTCACTGACCTCAGTTCGGTTGGATGAATTTGTACCAGTGACCTCCTCCCACTTCTTGAAACCTCTTCAGAATTCAGTGATCCTGAAATCAAGACCTATTAGGTGACCTATTGGTCAGTGCCACTGGGATCTCAAGTTCGTAGATGGCCTCGTCTGGCCTCGAGTCCCCAAACGGAAGGAACGGTTTACCCTCTCCTCATGTCAACCACCAGCCACGAGCACCAGCTCCAGCCAAGCCAGGTGCTCGCCGCTGTCGACGCCGGATGCCATTTTGAATGCCTTCCACTCGGCTCGGCAGTCCAATCTCGGCCACAAGAGCACCATCGTCTGCGTGTTTCTGGGAGCGGCAGTCCCGCGCGCGTGGGGGGGTTCTCCGTGCCTGTGCAAGGTGGATGCCTGCTATCCGGTGATTTGAGTGTTTAGGGCCTAGTTCAGGGTTGATGAGCTCTAGTTGCACAGAAGTGCAGTCCAAAGACCAAAGCCCACAGGACATGATCACGAAAGCTAGCATGCTAGCTGAGTTCTTCTTTGCTTTAGCAATGTTGTGGTGGGAGGGGCTGCGTGCCTTAAAGATTGATATATCAAGCTAACCCCCCCCCCCCGCGGTTCAACTCCCAGCTGCGCCGTGTAGGGGGTTGGTTGAACGTGTGAACGTGGTTGGTTGGGTGTAACGGTGGCTTGGTGTAAAGGGTGCTGCTGCTGCTGCTGCCGCTCTGCTGCTTGCTGCTGCTGTTTGCTGCTGCCGCTGGTTGCCGCTTTTGTAGCTGCTGCTTTGCTACTTGTTGCGGCTTGGTGCTGCTGCTGCTGCTGTTGCTGACGACGCCGCTGCTACTGCTGCTTGCTGCTTGCTGCTGCTGCTTGCTGCTTGCTGCCGGTGGTGCTTGCTGCCGGTGGTGCTGCTGCTGCTGCGGCTTGATGCTGCGCTGCTGCTGCGTGGTGCTGCTGGCTGGCTGCTGGTTGGTGGTTGCTGCTGGCTGCTGGCTACAGGCGGCTGCTGCTGCTGCTGCTGGCTGCTGCTGGCTGCATAGGACTTGTACTTCACCGTTACAAGTTGTTTACCCCTATTTCTAACCTAATGCATGCATAAGCGGGTGGTAAATTTACCCCCCAGGCTTGCTATAACCATACACCGGCTATTTCCTCAAGACACTCTATTCTTGATACCTTTTACCAGTGCTTATCCTACACTACGGACGCCCTAGTGTATGCACAGTCCTTGTGATGCTTACCCCTCGTTCCGGCTCAAGGCATACATAAGCGGGGGGTAAATTTACCCCCCAGATTTGCCATAACCATAAGCCGGCTATTTCCTCAAGACACTCTACTCCTTCTACCTTTTACCCGTGCTTATCCTACACTACGGACGCCCTAGTGTATGCACAGTCCTTGTGATGCCAGAAATGCTTACCCCTCTTTCCAGCGCAAGGCACACATAAGCGGGGGTAAACTTACCCCCCAGATTTGCAATAACCATACACCGGCTATTTCCTCAAGACACTCTATTCCATATACCTTTTACCCGTGCTTCTCCTACACTACGGACGCCCTAGTGTATGTACAGTCCGTATGATGTCAGAAATGCTTACCCCTCTTTCCGACTCAAGGCATACAAAAGCGGAGGGTAAATTTACCCCCCAGATTTGCCGATCACGCATCTTCGTGCCTGCCAACGAGTGCACCCGGGTTGTTCCAATGTACCCTTCCCAGTCAGCGATGTCACATTTACATTCTTTAGCGCAAAGTATGTACATAGCAACCTTCCTCCCAAAACATGTCATCCCTACATGCTTTGCCGACTATGTAACTAGTACATCCGGTGCGATTCGGCTAGCTTTCGACCTCTCCCCCTGGCCTCAAGTTTCTTCCGCACTTCGTTCGTGACAATGGAACTCTGCCACAGGAACAGATCTGAGTTTAGAGCTGCAAACGATCTGAGTTTTGTGCGCTGAACGACATGAGCTGGGGTGGTTCTCCCACCATGGACACCATGGACCCACCATGGACACGCAGCGAGTTGGGTCACCAAAGGGCGGAATGAGCAACGTGGTAGTGAGGCAGAGGTGGTGGCAGAGGTATTCCCAAGGCAAACAACATCGAACAACCCTTTAGGCCCATCTAAAGCCCATCTAACCCCGGGGGTGTTACACCTGGCGGACCAAGCTTCAGGCTGTTGGATGAGGTGGGCTTGGCGGAGGAATCGCCTCATTTACCTTTGAAGGTACTTCACAAAGAGCTTGAGGACGGGGGCTGGTGTCTAACCGTTTTTTCTTGTGTAAAGATCGCGGGATCTTGCAACGTCCACATCAAATGGCGGCCAGTTTCTTTCTGCAGAGACACTCCGATGTGGCTTTGAAAGACACTGAAACCAATTCAACTGGTTTCTGCACCTGTTTTCAGTCAGGACCTTCGTGGTATTGCGTGCGTGGGCATCTCCAACTGGGCGTTGGATGCGGCTGCTCAGCTGAGACTGGTGAACGGAATGGGGGAGCGAGTTGGGTCAAGCAAGACGGGACAAAAACTGGACAGATGAATTTTAGGACGCTCGAAGAAGCTGGATGATTCCAACAGCACTTAGTTGTTTGGCTGTGAGGAAGTCTTGGCCTCCCTCATCAAACCAGCTAGGTTGACATCCGTTGTAAGTTATAGTGCAATTTGATGGTTTTTGTTTTCATTTGGTGGTCAACCAGGTTCCCTGATTTTGACCCACAGCCATTTGTTCGCATGGTTCCACATCTCGTAGAGGCGGTTGTTCCACGGCTGTAGAGGCTCCAGATCTGACCAAAATTCTTCCTACTAGGAATAAGAAGCTACTGGGTTGTAGGCCATCGCTGTTAGGTTGTTGCTAGATGTTGCTAGCAGGTTGGAGGCCATTCCTACTATTTTTGTCTTTCTTCTATTTTACATGTTCTTCCGGTTTGGGACCCTTCCGGCCACCGGCCACCGGCGTCCGACCCCCGAGGCGAAGATGAGCCGCTGCGTGACGCTGTACCGGCCGCCGCCCACGGTGGAGGACTTGAGTGTCACTGCGGAGGGTATGGTGCAATCGGCCCGGGGCCCCAGAGACCCGGAGGGACCCGGCGAGGTTCGGCGTTGGAGTTGGCATGAAAACCACCGTTTTGGTGGTCTTTTGGGGTGGCCAAGAGGAAAGATGTTGACGAAGACCCGTGTGTTTTTGGATCCAAGAAAGTACTTTCATTACTTTTCCAAGACAAGAGATTGATCTAAAAGGGAAATACTACAGGCATGATTGTCCAGTGAGTTTATGGTCAGTGTTGATCAATGTCGGATAATAATGGGATTGGTCTGGTAGGGCTTTAGGACCAGCGAAGATTCGCTCTCCTTCTTTGCACGCACGGACGCACGACAACCTCCCTGCTGCCTTGGATCCGATCCAAGGCCAATCTCAAAGCTTATTTGCGAGCCCTTTCCGAAGCCTTTGCGGAGATCTACAAGCGATGCTTGTGCTGCAAGAACAGACGACAAACGAACGGATCGGCTGGTCAAATCGTTTTCTTTAGACACATGACATGCGTCACCACAACGTGTCTGGATTTCGATGTGGAACCGAGCTCCAAACAGGACAGAAGCGTGCTGACTTCTGGGGTATGCGTGAGTTCTACAGCCACGCACTCAGCGACACTGCCAGCTCGGGACGTGACGACTGCGCCAGGGTGACGACACAGGGCCAGCGAGGATCAGGACGAACGCGTTTGGCACATTCCACCCCCAAGAGAATCTCCAAACCCAAGTCCTTCCGCATTCTTGTACGACAAGATGAACCACCTCCCCCCCAATCCCAGCTTTTTGACATGGCTATTTTCATCAACACCCCAAACCCTTCTCCACGTGAACCATGTGCCGTTGAAACGCCGACCCTCCTCGCCTTCGCCTTCGCCCTCTCCTCCCGGTGCCCCGTCGGCGGAGGCACGGTGCGGGTGATCAACGCGGAGCTCAAGATCCGCGCGGCCGAAGGCCTCGAAGCGGTGCTGGAGCCGAAGGCGACGGGAGGAGCCGGATGGACGGCACCTTCAGGTCGGTGACGACAGTGCGAGGGGGCAATGAATTGGAGTGGGAGAAAGGCATCCAAAAAGGCATGAATTCTGAACATGGGATAGTTGAAGATCATGATTTTTATCCACTCTAAAGGTTAACAGTTACAAAAAATCAAATGAATTCAAATGAAGGTACGGTTTGGACATTTCGATTCTTCCAAGCCTTGTAGGTGCTGGTCGAAATGACTGGCGCCAGGAGGGGAACCCCCCCTCCAAAGCAGCCTGAAGATGCTGCCGGTCCATCTGCAGGTTTTGATGAAGACGGTCCAACGAAATTTCGGCGGTCAACCAGAAGATGAGCTGGAGGCGTGGGCTATCGACGTGCACCTGTGACTGTGTGGGCTATCGCACCAGAAGTGCACCTGAGCTAGCTGACTCCGAATCAGCTATTGAATCAATGAAGTGGAGACGGAAGTCTATCAACTATTGCTGATGGAGACTTCTGCAAACTAGAACCGAGATCCAGCTTTCTGAGCGCTTTTTCCGGTCATGTCTAAGAGGCCGGCCCATCCAACCAACCGCCCACCAGCCCAACGAACAGACGTACTTCCACCCCGAAGACTTCGACGCCGCCGAGGCCTGCATCGAAGAGTTCTTCGAACGCACCGGAATGGCCCGGGCGTCCCAGTGTCACTCCGCCAGCCTTCTCCGGGCCGGGAGGGTTTTTCGGGAGAAATGACGGGTGGTGGTGGGGTGCAGGAGGTCGTGAGCCGAAGTCGGTACAGAACTCGGGTTTTGGAGATGTTGAACATGCAAGCCCTGAATTCATGTGCTATATTCATGCTATATGTATAGATGAGACTGTCTGGATTTCTCCAACAGACAGCATCACTTTCACTCGACTAAGCCCTTTCTCCACCTGCGAATCCTTAGTTGGGTGGGTCTCGTCTCCGGTGTTCCTCGCACCGCCCGGAGGACTTCATGGACGTCACACGTCTCACCACTCCTGAGCTGATCCAGCAGAACCTAGGGGAGCCGGATGCCAGGCGGGATGGGGAGACACGCTCGCTGGGACGCACGGAGTTCGGTTCTTTGGTAGTTCTGAAGACCCAAAGACCCACGGTTTGTTTTGGGGATTGGTGGGCACTTCGATTTGCAGGCTTGAAGGAAGGGTGTGCGTCGCCAAAAGAGAGGAAGACGTTTGGTGTTACATAGGTGTGCAGAGATGTTCAGAAGCTAAACTGGTGTTTGTAGGAAAAACAGGAAAACACATCGGAAGGCTTTTTTACAGATGGGGCAGAACTTCCACAGCTGCCAACACTCACTTGGAACACCCGATACTCTGAAACTCTGTCATGTTGCATTGAATTGAAGATCTTGCTGCAAAAAACATTCGGGGATCAGGTTTGCACGAAGAGTATGAAGACTGCAACAGAAGCCTTGCGAGGAGTTTTTATCAGAACAGATCCTTTTTCTTGCACCCCAATTGTCAAGTGTCAGCTTTCCTGACGCAGCATTGACCCGAACATCTGGAACGTCTTTGGAACGCATCTTTATGCACGTATTATATTTCTCTACTACACAGAGAGATACAAAACAATGTAACATACTTGAGATACATGAGTGACATTAGATGCAAATGACTTCTAGGAAGACTAGTTTTCGTGTGGAACCAGAGGAGTTGCTTTCAGATTTAGCAAGGACATAAACTTGAAACAGCATGGTATGAAGCTTTGAAGAACATCCGAAAAGCCACCTTTTTTTTTTGAGCCGCGAGCTTCTTCGAGCTGCGAGCTGGCCACGCTCGACCTCGCCGCGCGTTTTCACTCGCCGTCACTCGCCCATCTGTCACGCCCACTCGACCGGTGGTTCCGACTGTTGAGTCTGACCCCAGACTCGGTCCGAGGCACCTCATGTTGTTGACCAAGAACAACGCGGCCCTGCGGCTGCTCTTCGAGGGTGGTTTGTTGGACCACAGCCGTGCAGAGGCGCGAAGACGGACGGACTCGCCGGTCGGCGCTGGACGTCCGAGTTGGAAGCCGTTTGGGGCTTCTTGTGAGCGTTTTCCACCACTGTTTTCTTGTTAACGTTCTTCCTGAGACCAGTGGTTTTTGACCAGAGGGGAGGGAAGACAAGACATGGTTTCTCGGAGCTCACGTGGCAGGTCATGTTTGGAAGCACCTTCCCCAATGACCTCAGCGACATGTTCGTGGCCATGAACCTCCAGCGTGGCTCAGACTGATCAAACAGACTCCGACCGAGCGAGTTGGGACAAGTCGGTCGAAAAACATCATGTGTTTCAACCAATCGAAAAACAGTGCAACAGCGAACGAGGTATCAAGAGCTTCATGCAACAGCCAATCTCCCTGGTGATGGTGCACTGCGATTCTCTCTACGAGACACTCTGCTTCGCAGTTAGGGGTGGAGAGGGAGTGCAGGTGGCGGACATGGGGAGGACAGTTTGGACTTGATTGTACGCACCGTTGTACGCACCGTTTGAAGATCGGAAAGGGTTCATGGTTTTTTTTTCAGGCGAAGGAGTGAGGCGACGCCTATCATTTTGCAGTGTTCAGACATGTGTGAACTGTCAATCCAATTTCCTTTTTAATGAGACAGTGTTGATTTCAACACCTTTGTCGTCGTCTCTCAGCGGGTCCTCACGTACGCCTCATAGCGGGTCCTGAGAGCCTCACGTTGTACTCCTGAGATCTTTGTACGACCTGCTGAACCAGCACTACATGGAGTATGCGGGCCAGCGATATGTCAGACACCCAGACCGAAGAACAGCCAGCTTTGGACTTGAGAAAGAGCACGGGTCAGCATGGCTAGAGGATGCTAGAGGTGTTTTCTTCATCTCACCGAGTCGAAGGAAGATGTGAAAATCAGTGCGACATGAACGTCGGCTGGACTGGATTTGTGACGGCTTTTCTGCTGGTACCTTTTTTTCACCTCGTGAAGAGACTCATCTCATCTCGAGATGGCGCGCCATCTCTCAGGTGCGTATTGCGCATGGTTCCAAAGCCAAACAGTGCCCCATCCACAAGCTCTTCCGCGTGATCGTGGTCACTGAACTGAGTACCTTGGCAGATCTGCTGGAGGCAGAGGAGCGACCAGCGTGTATTTCACCAGATCCCCTGGCCCTGGCTGGGTACACTGGTCGATGTCCGATGTTCCCTCTTTTTTGGGGTCGTTGCCTGAGAGCTCTCACGATTTTAAGGTCTCATGACCTCTCTCCCATTCCGGCTTTTTATTGCGAGATCATGAGATCCATTGAATCTGACGCGAAGCGTAGATCAATTGAGCTTCCAGGGATTGGACCATATATGTTGGCTCTGTCCGAACTACACGGTTTTTACCGTCCAACCGAGACGCGAGACGATTTGATGGACGCGAGACGCGAGACGCGGCGTCGATGCTGTTCATCACGAGTTTGTTCGATCGACTTGTTCGGGGCTTCCTGGCAAGTACAGAAGACGCCCAAGAGAATACGAAGAAACTGTGACATCCGACTATATAGGACAAAAGACTAAAGAAGTCCAACATTATTTTTTTTTTTGTGATTATTTTCACGAAGCAACTTCGAAGAACATGCAAAATCTGCTGAACGCAGGGAACACCAAAGCTCTTTCGTCTTGGCATTGTGTTCATATTCAGGGAAAACGTTTAACAGTTTGTTAGTTCTTTTTCCTTTTTCCTTCAGTCGCATCATATCTCTTCCCAATGTTTCAGTCACATGACACATGTCCGAAATAAGGCGATGCCTATTTCCGCCTGGCGCCCCCCCTGTTGAACCGCTTCGAGAAGCAAATCTTCCTGCGCAAGGAGCCCTCGACGGATTGCCCCCGGAGTCCGAAGAAAGAATTCAAACCAACGCACCGGTCAGCTGCGGGAAAGCGTGGAGGGTGTGGGGAGAGGGATTTTTGGGAGATGTGGAGGACTTGATGACGAAATCGGACGAAGCGCTGCTGGCCAGAGTGGGGAAGTTCTGGCAGACCCTCAACGAGCTGCTTGGAAGTCGGAAGTCGCGTTCATGTCACGAGCTGCTCATGTTTTCCATCCAAAAGGGTTTGCCCTGGGGACCAGTGGAGGGGTCTGTTTTAGAAAGTGACTGGCTGTTTTCGAGACAGGCATCCAATCGAGTTCTTGATGAAGTACCTTGAATCACTCATCTCAGCAGTCTTCCGCACCTTCCACATTTGCCACACACGTGGCAAATGAGTGGGGCGTGGGAGCTTCATCAACCCAAACAACGAGATGGGCACATCCCAAACAGGATCTCATCCTTTTTTAGCAATGACTGAGAACCAAATGAATAGTGCGTGAGCTATCCTGCGTCCAGTAGGTAGTATAGCGGCTAGTAGTGGCTAGTCCTTACTCAATTACTGTAAGTAGGCGTCTACTTCATTAAGGGCCGGGCTCAACAAAAAATCAAAGAAACTAGACCACATGCACAGGGTGGCCCGAAAGCACAGCAGGAGAACCCCACCCTTGGTGCTTTCGGACAAAAGGAAGAACATCTTTTTGCTGCGACAGCGGCTAAACGGACCTCTGTGGACATCAAAACTCAGTTGGCCAACGGACCGTGACCGTGGGGTGTGTGAACAACTCCCTAGGCTCATGAATGCCGGCAAGAGCGTGAAGGCGGGTGGGTGGCCATCGGCGGGAGGCTGGCAATGGGTACGAAGGGTGGGCCATCGGTTTTTTGGGGGGGTCGAAGGTGAGCAGAAGACGTGACTGGAATCGTTTTCGATCTGATCTTCGCCAGTGGAAGCTCCCCCCCTGCCAGAAACGGCCACGTGGCTTCCTCCTCTCCACCGCACCCACACCGGTCCCTACCGCTGGCGAGGACGACGACGCCCTGGAGGAGGCGACGCAGCGGCCCGGCACGATGCTCAACACCGCGTCGCACCGGCCCATCGCAGGCGCGGCCCGAGCCCATCGCATGTGAGTGTTGACCGAGGAGGGTCCATGACTCACGTGAGCCATGGGTGATCGCCTTTTTTCTCGAATGCGCAGCGAAGGGTTCTCGTTTAACTTTGGGGGGTCTGGGGGTAGAGCCTTGTTCGCCACGCGTTGTCTCAGCGTTCGCAACCGTCCGCAACCGACCGCAACCGTCCGCGGTAGGGCGCTAAGGCGCTGCCATTGGGGGAAGCTTTTGGAGGGGGTTTCGGATGGAAACGTGACGTGTCAGATTCGTGTGAAATAGCGTGGAAACGTGTGGAAATGTAAGATGTTGAAGTGTGGGGGATGATTTCACTGCGCACAAGATCCGCAGTTTTCTGCGCAGCTCCATTGGGATTAGCGCTTGGAGAGTGGTGTTTTTGGAGTGTTGGATGTGGCCGTGCCAGGGTGTTGCATCGAAGCTCTGTTTTCGTGACAAGTCTCAGCTGAAATGGCGATTTTGGTGGATGGGAGTGTGCTCAGAACGGGTCGAAGCCATTCCAAACGTGTGGTGTGGTGCAAATTTTGTTGAAGCTCACATGATATGATATTGTCACTTTTCGTGGCAGGCGCAGTGCTTTGTGCGGGTCTTGAGGTGTGGAAGTGCGATTTTCGTGGCAGGCGCAGGGAATCGTGAAGTTGCGAGGCGTGACAGAGGTGACATTTCGTGGCAGGCGCAGTACTTTGTGCGCGTTAGACGCGGAAAGTTTCGTGGCAGGTCGTGAGGTTGTGATTTGTGGTAGAGGTGAGTGTCGCTGTGACATTGGGATTGGCGTGCGAGCGGGTGTTGTTTGGAGGGGCTGGAATCGCGAAACTGCTTGGCAGGGCTGCGTGATGTGTGTGCTCTGATGGGTGTTTCCGCTTGACTTTTGGAGGAAATCTCAACGCTCGTTTTGCAGACTTTGACATGTGAGTTTTTGAGGAAGTCTTGTACGAAACGCTTGTTTTGGAGACTTGACGTGTGACTTTTGGAGGAAGTCTCGTGCGAAACGCTTGTTTTGGAGACTTGACGCGTGACTTTTGGAGGAAGTCTCGTACGAAACGCTCGTCTTGCAGACTCGAAGCGTTGGAGGACGTCTCGTACGAAGCGCTTGTCGTGTATGGGCAGGCCGTGTGGCGAAATTACGTTCATGATGTCGCTGTGCCGTTGGGATTTGCGCGGCCTTGGTGGGAAGTGTGTTTGCGTGGCGCCGTGCCACTTGGAAGCGCGAAACATGCTGGTGTAAACGCGGCGTGTCGCCGGTGAGCGGGATGCTTGGTGGTATCATGTGATCTGTTTGCTTCTAGTGTGTCGACAGACCGTGTGGCGAAGCTACGCTCCTGATGTCGCCGTGCCATTGGGATTTGTGCGGCCGGGAAGTGCGTTTGCGTGGCGCCGTGCCACTGGGGAGCGCGAAACACGCTGGCGTAAGAGTGTCCCAGGAGTGTCCCGCAAGAGTGTCCTAAAAGAGTGTCCCAAGAGTGTCCTA